CACATTATATTTATTTCATATTGCAATGAATTTAGCTCGAAATAATTGATAGCGAAAACATATTCTTAATTCGTTCCTATATATTCGAATATACTTTCGATTTTATAAAAAATTATGACGGTATAAGAGATATTCTTTTAGCTTAATTACCTGCTCATATATTTCAATTCAATAAACTCATCTTCGATCAATATTATTAATTTTTTATCAGCTAAAAAATTATGCACTTTTGAAATAAACATAAATATCGCACCATTTCAAAATAAGAAATCCTAATTAATTTATCTGCGGTAAGCTTAATACGACGTCGTTTTGGGGCAGAAATGATGATATTTTTATAATTTTAATTTTTCTCAGGGTTATTATAATATTTATAATTATAATTATTTAATTTTTCAATCCAAAAACATCGTCGTTTTGAGAGTAAATGCAGATTACTTATCTATAATAACTGCAGAATATTATTCCGTTAATCTTAAGAAGAAAAACCAATATAAGTGTTAGCTATACAATCATTTTTTAAGAAAGAAATTGGTATTAATTATACAGTCAAATGAGGGGACAATACATAACTCGAGCAAATAACAAATTTTTAAGTAGAATACCATTCTAGTATCTATTAATAGATTTTATACTTTTCTAACAGGTCCCTCACACAAGTGTTATCGGATTTGAAGGGTAGACAATGCACAAACTCATCTATTTATGCTAAGAAACTTCACAAGATTTAATTAATTAATAATGAAATGGAAGATGACGAGGATCGAACATGTGACACAATATCTCTGATATCATGTAAATAACTAATTTAACTCAAAAATTTAAGCTGTTAGATAAGATTACATTAATGAATTTTATATTTCTTTAAGAGAGTCAAACATTCAATTGGTTCAATTCTAGTTACTGTTGTATTATGTTAAAATTTATAATTTTCACGAATAATAATAATATGAATTCTTAACTTCAATTAATATAGTTTATTTAACATAATAATAAATGTGTCTTAATATAATTTATTTTTATAAAATTTCTATTAATTTTATTGTTTAGAATTCTATAATTTAGTTAAAAAAATTAAAATTTTCACAGTTTATTCAAACATCATGTTTATGAAGCCTTATTCCAATTATTAGTCGTTATGACATGTCGAAAAAAATATAGTGTAATTAAAATATCAAATTAAGATAAGATAAGTTCTATTAAGTACAATAAAAAAAAAGTAAAATAAAGAAGTGGATTTTTTTTTTAAAAAAAAAAGGAGAAGCGAAGGAATTATTATTTTCATTGATTGACACATTTAATAAAAAGTAATGAGACTTTTCTTTCTTAGCTTAATTTTTTCAAAAAATAAAAAATACACAATAAATATCAATTTAATTTATTTCTTAAAATTAATCTACTTTAAAAGGCTTATATAATAAGTAAAATATAAAATATAAAACTCAAAATTATTTCTTTTTGCTCTGAATATTCCTCGCAGGACAAGGAAACACAATGCATATGCTATTTTCTGCTTTCTATACTAAACATGAAATAGATATGATTATTTTTCTTTCTAACCCAAAAACAATGTGCGAGACAAACCATGATAAGGTATAGGCATTATATATGTGTAAGAGTGACACTGATATTTGTGAATAGCGAAGGTTCAAGTGTGTGTAGGGTAGGACAAGTAAAACGCGTGGGTGGGGTCATGGTGAGGCGTTGCGTGCGTGTTTTGCTACACGTACCACTTAGAGACAGCGACCAATAGAGAAGTACTGTAGCACTACGTTGTACTGTACAGTGTCAAGTCCCATCATCAAATCTTTTCTGTAAAATGGGTCCCATTTTTTCCTCAACTAATGGATGGGATTCTTCCTTTCACTCTTCCACACATTCAACATTCATTTTCTGTCCATTCGATCATCATGTTAAACGCTTACATTTTACAAGCTTTTGCCTTGATTGGTAGCTTGCATTTACACTTGCACATGATTAAACTTTTGAATGCGCGTAATGCGTTAACTGGCAGGGTTGGAGGAATTTACACTTACACTTCACCTGATTCCATATTTTAATGAAGTTAATTATTTATATGTGGACTTGTCCCAGTCATGCTCATGCCCCAATGAATGACTCGGTCAGTGTCAAATGAGCACACAGAAAAAATATTTTAAGTATTCCTGTTATACTGAGTATTCCGTATATTATTCACTAAATAAGTAACACTTTTATATTTTTAATTTATTTTTTATCCCATTTTTTTCTGTATTTGGCTAGAGAGCATGCACTCCTGTTGTTTCGAAAATTAGCTCCGCACACGGACACATATAAGACGTATTTACATCATGTATATGTCTTGTATTAATAATTTTAAATTATCTAATTCCATAAAAATTTCTTCTTTAATACGATAATTAACAATTGATAAAACATTATTTTTTAAAAAATATTTTAAATAATATATTGATAAAAATAGTTTTTTTTTTTTTTTTTTTTTAAAACGCACCTAGCATACAATTCAAGTCTTAATTTTGATTACATAATGATTTAAGCTTTAAGTCATTTTATTTTTACATAATTCTTTTTATTAATTTTTATTAAGACTCTAACATGAAACGAGTTTAAATATTTCGATAAAGTCATAAATATAATTAAGAATGTGGACTAACGTTACTCTTTTTAGGTATGACTTCATCTTTCAAATCCCTCCGAAGTTCAAACTGTTGCTGTCAATCAGCTTCTTCACCGCTATGGTCAATTCACCCAATAATGAGCAATTACGGCTAAGTTAAAACCATGAGAAAATACATTTGTATTATAGTTGAAACTTATATTTGGCAAAAGATGAAACCTATAAAATTAGGTTTTATGCATATTCACATTATTCGTTTTTTAAATGTTATGAATGCTCAATTTTTCACCAAGTCACTTGTCTGATTCTCAAGAGTTTAACTAGTCATGTAGTTTTAGCCTTTAGGAAGGCAATGACACTTCAAACAAAATTTTGTCCCATAAATAATTTTTTCTCTGATCCATCTTAATTGTTATTTTGATACAAGGCGAAAGATTAGGAAGCATAAAACAATGTTCTGATTATGATCTTTTACTAAATTGTCCTTATTCAATTTTCAGTAGTTAATTGTTCTACTTTATCCTGTTACACTATTATTTACATTTTCTATTTAGAGTATAAAGGTAGAGTTTGAAAACAACAACTAACGATTCATTGATGGTTTTTATAATTCTCATTTAACATGAGAATTGAAATCTTCCTACACACTCTTTGATTTTCGTGCTGATGTGAGTCCTATAAATAATTTTTTCTAACATACGAGTCTCATATATTTTTTATCTCTACAACATAAAATTTTAATTCTTATGTAAGTTGAGAATTATAAAATCCTTCATTGATATATGAGAATACATTTTTTTTCACCAAATCGATACTTTAAAGTTAAAATGGATCCGAAGATATATGTATAGTCGTCTAAGTGATTCAACCTCAAAATATAAAATGCGAACTCTCTTCTAAAATTGACTTTAATAATTATCATGTTATAAAAGATAATTTAATCTACTATTGTATATAAAAAAAATATGTGAGATTTACGTATGATCATTTGAAAAAGAAGAAAGAGAAAAAGAAATGGATCAAAGACATTTTAATTTTATATGTGTACAAAAGATAAAATTATCATCTACAATATAAAAACATTAAATCTTTTAAAATTAGGTTTAGTATTTATCCTTTTAGAGGACATGTAATTATATCATTTTAAGTAAAAAAAAGTCACAAACAATAAAAATTATAAGAGAGAAAATGAGTGATTTTTTTAAATTTAAATTTTAAATAAAAAATACTAAGTTATATATTTTCTCTCTTAAAATGATATAATTATATATTCTTTGAAATAATAAATATTTTTTCCTTTAAAATTTTGTAATATAAGTATGAATGAGCGTGTAATTAAAGTTATCAAACAACTTTGTACAAAAAAATAAATAAATTATCAAACAACCTCAAATTTTTTTCTTGTTCTGTCATGTGTCTCCCAAAAGGGATTAAGGTTTTGATCTGATTATCGTAACAGTTTTTAATCTGTTCGACATAAACTGTAACACTTGTCATCGTTTAGTGAGCTGGTTGGTAGGACTACTGAGCATTAAATCTTCAAAACTTGATAGACTGTCAAAACTATTTTGATAAAATAAATTCCAACAGTACTCAAAAATTCCAAAATCTATAAATATATGGGGACCAAAGAAGAAATTTGGCTACCAAAGTCATTCTCTACTGGGATTCACATTTAAAAGAGTGAACTGACTAACTACATTTGACACTGTATCTTCCCCATCCTGTGGATTAAAGAACCCAACTCCAAGTGGGGTCATTGCATTGTCAAAATCAATGCACTCACAGTTAGATTTTTCAATTGGTGCCACTTTTTCTTAAACGGGCACATGCAATTCTAACAAGGCAGAAACGGACAATATTTTTTTTTTTTTTAAAATAAGTTTATTTTTAACGTGATCAAATATTAATTTAATTTAAAATATATTATCATTTTAATTTATTTAAAATGCATGTTCCCACGTTAAATACTTAAATTCAACTCAAAATAAATAAATAATATTAGTTATAGGAAGAAAAAAAAACCTTCATTATGAAGGTAGCTGAGCAAAAACAGTAAATCTTATAAGGTGGATGTAAATTTCCCTCCTAGGTTGTCTGAAAGTGAAATGGTGGGCACGAAAAGTAATAGTAATAAAAATAATGCAAAATTGTGAAGCCTTCTCTCTCTCTCTCCAGAAAAAATGCGACAATCGTACACTCTCTCTTTCTCCCTCTTGAAAGGACACCTCAAAAATAATGGCGGTTGTGTTCTGATTGATTGGAGCTGATAGAGAGAGAGAGAGAGAGAGAGAGAGAGAGGGGGGCAAAGCAATAGTAGTATGTTCACTAAGTTAGTAGTAGTAGTAGTACCACAATGACCACAACCATAACATAATCACACAAAGCATAAGCACAAGCACTGCTTCCCATTTTTCTATTACTGGAAATGAGCCTAACACAAGCCTGACCTGACTCTGGATTTTGTACTCCTTACTCAACACTGTTTTTTTCTTTTGGCATCCCTTCCATCAAAAAATATACAACTACAACTACCCGTGTCTTCAACTCTTAATCCTTTTCTCGTGTGTTGCTTTCATTTGTTCTCTTTTTCTGGGTTTGTGAGATCCCCTCTCTCTTCTGGGGTTCATTGTTCTTTTGCTGAGATCTGTTTGGTTTCCAAGTTTGTTCCTTTATTTAGCTTCCGGGTCTTGTTCGTCCTTCAGATTGTTGCTTAATTTGGTTGTGAGAAGCCACATATAGTCGAGCTCATTTGGATTGTGTGTAATGAAGTCTTCAGTTGGAGATTGGAACCTGGGGTGTTGGGGGTTGAGGAAGATTAGAAGCGAATGAGGCGTAAAGCAATTGTCTTTTGTTGTGATACTGGTTTTGGTTGAAGATTTAAGGTTGGGAGTCTTGTGGGTATATTTAGATTTAAATGGGTTTTGGTTGTTGAAGAGAAGTAGAGTATCGTGGACGAAGACAACAAGGGATGATATTCTGTAGTGCAAAGGAAGAGACTAAAAGGCTTGTTTTGTGGTGGGGGTGTCATTTTCCTAGAATTTTGTTGCTTAATTGCTCTACTTAAAAGAGTGTTTTGATTGTGGGCTCAATTTCGAGGTTACAAATTGCTCAAGTTTTTTTTTTTTTTTAATCAAATGAGACTTTCTTCGGCTGGTTTTAGTCCTCCACCCCAGGAAGGTATGTTAATTCTTGCTTGCAGATTCTTCTTACTTTTTTCATCTCTTACTTGTATTCTCAATTTTTCTGGAACTGGCTATTGCAACCTCTATCCTCAGGAATTAGAATGCTTATTATCTCTTATTGCCTTTTGTGTTAATATATCTCGCCACTGATTTTTTTTTTTTTTTTTTTTAATTTTCTGTGTCTAACATGGGCACCTTACATATTTTATAATTTTTTGATGTTGGGGATGTGGAAATTTAACCTTTTTTGGGTTATGGATTCACTTGTTTATGCAATAGCTCAGAGATCAGATTAATAATTTGGCTTCATTTGCCAAACAGCCACCACTTCTGGGGTTTGCTTTATGGTTTTAAGATCTTGGATTTGGCAAGAGTATGCCAAAATCAATTTGTCCTTTGAGACAAGTTATGAACTTTTTATATTCCATATTATTAACACTGGGATGGAATTTGCAGGGGAAAAGCGAGTTCTAGATCCAGAACTTTGGCATGCATGTGCTGGTCCCCTTGTGTCTTTGCCTGCGGTTGGAAGCCGCGTGGTTTACTTTCCACAAGGTCACAGTGAACAGGTGAGTAAAATATGATGTTAGATTATTGTATTCTTCTCATAAAAAATCCCTTGTCGACACTATGTGCTAACATTCTTTTACTAATGGTAAGAATAAAGTAATAATACGAATCTTCAGTTTCTCGGCATGATGATGTTATCTTGTCTCTTGTCTCTGTCTTCCTGTTGCCACCAATTTGGAGGATGGGTTCACTGTTACACTCGTGTTTAGCAAAACCGGTTTTATCTTCACTCTTGCAAGCCATGTGTACACTTATGCTTAACTGGCTTCCACTCTCACTTCTTTAGTTTTGATTTGTTGCAGGCTAATGAATTAACTCACAAAAATGAAGTAACTTCATTTACCTCCCAGAAACCAGCACATGAACTTTTATGTTTGAAAGCATCTCTCTGTTCTTTTCTGCACAAGCTCTATGCATGTATATTCCCTAACTCAGCACTTTTCCTCAGGTGGCTGTGTCAACCAACAAGGAAGTGGATGCTCATATTCCAAACTATCCGAGCTTACCTCCTCAACTCATTTGTCAACTTCATAACATGACTATGCATGTATGGTTTGTTTTTTATTTTTTTTGTAGTAATAAAGCGGGTTTATTTTGGTTTCCTCGTTTTAATTTTCCCGTTCTTTGGTTCATGCACCCTCTTTGTCTTTCATTATCTGTTGTTTATTTCAATTCAGGCTGATACTGAGACTGATGAAGTGTACGCACAAATGACCTTGCAACCTCTGAATCCTGTATGAAATACTGTCTAAACTGATAACTGGTTTCGTAGATTTTATAACTATATTCATTCTTCAGCTTTTGACTATGACTGTGTTTGCAGCAAGAGCAAAAGGAGGCATACCTTCCAGCAGAGTTGGGCACTCCAAATAAACAGCCAACAAACTATTTCTGCAAAACTTTAACTGCCAGTGACACTAGCACTCATGGGGGATTCTCTGTGCCTCGACGGGCAGCTGAAAAAGTGTTTCCTTCATTGGTAAACCTTTGTCAATGAGTCATGCTACAAAAATTTCAACTTATTCATATAATCTGTTAATTTCTTAAGTCTTAACTTTGTATCTGTGATCTACAGGATTTCTCCCAACAGCCTCCTGCTCAAGAGTTAGTTGCAAGGGATTTGCATGGTAATGAATGGAAATTCAGACATATCTTCCGGGGTGAGTTATAAACTGCGTTTCTTGACTTTTAATTGCAAATGTGGGAAATTTCCTGCCAGCTTGAGAGTTTCTTTCTGGGGGCTGAAAATAAGTGCAGATTTTGCTTACAATGTTTGAACTTGGTTTTTTTTTATCCCCTGAAGGCCAACCCAAAAGGCATCTACTTACCACGGGATGGAGTGTCTTTGTGAGTGCTAAAAGACTTGTTGCTGGTGATTCTGTGTTGTTTATCTGGCAAGTATTTTATTATTTCCTTCTTATCAAAGTGATTTGCTGCTAAATTCTGGACAGCGTTAATATTATTCTGCTCCTCCACCTCAGATTTTCTCATACTTCGTTTCTGAATTTTTCCCTTTGGCATTTTTGAGGTTTGTCTCCCTGAACCAGGCCATGTGACTTGTATATCATTTGGCAATTCAAAAGAATATACTTAAACGTTTTTATTAACATGTGGTTCAGGCTTTGACAAGTGTAGTTGCTTCTTATTTCTTGTATCTGCTTGCTTGATTTTGATATTATGTTGAGCGTTGTGATATCTTTTCTATGGTGTAACGCAAGTGCATTTTGTTTAATAGGAATGAAAAGAACCAATTGCTTCTTGGCATCCGCCGTGCTAATCGACCACAAACTGTGATGCCTTCGTCGGTGTTGTCAAGTGACAGTATGCACTTGGGGCTTCTTGCTGCCGCAGCTCATGCAGCTGCAACAAATAGTCGTTTCACTATTTTCTATAACCCACGGTATAAGTAGTACACATTTTAAAAACTTTCAAGTCGTGATATACTTCTTTGACTGACATATTTTTCTTTATAAATTCAGTGCTTGCCCATCAGAATTTGTCATACCCTTAGCAAAGTATGTTAAAGCTGTGTATCATACTCGAGTCTCAGTTGATATGCGTTTCAGGATGCTGTTTGAAACAGAGGAATCAAGTGTGCGGCGGTAGGCTTTAAAACTTTTATTGTGGAAGACAATATTGTATAAATGCTTTCCTTTTTGATGTTTGATATTTTATTAAGGATAATATAATGTATGACAATAGAAAACAAACATGGTTGTCTTTTCCATTCTGCCACAAGTCTTAGCGTAAATTTGTAGAAGTTTTTGGCTTGTTTGGAAAGGTGATTATGGTTTTCTCTTGTGAAGTGCTTTAAATCCGAGGCAAGATGCAGTTGGGGACTATAATTTTTTAAGAATCATTATCACATAAAGAACACTGATCAAATCATTATGCACTTAAATCACAAATATTTGATTAGTGAGTTTCACTTGTGCTTGTTTTGTGCTTCATTTTATTAAACAAATGAGACGGTTTTGTTTCTAAGCTGTTGATAAATGTGTCTAAGATGTGACTGTCTAAAAATAAGACAGTAATTGTATCTTGTTTCTCATGGTGGGCCAAACATGGGTACATGCCACCCTAAAGTATGATTGTTGCAATGAATGAAACTGGCATGGATTTGAATGTATGCTTCTTGTTTTGAACTTCTAATTCTTAATAATGCCCTCACATATCAGATATAAAGTTTAGTCCACAAAACTTCTCATTGTCAGGAATCAGGATAAATATGGCCAGTCACGTAGTAGAGTTGGTGATACATGTTTGTAATGTAATTATGTAATACTACTATATCTTTCTTGTGCAGATACATGGGTACGATAATTGGAATTAGTGACCTGGATCCTGTCCGGTGGCCAAATTCACATTGGCGCTCAGTCAAGGTTTGTAAGGAATCACTTCTGATATTTCATTCAAGTTATATAATTAAATCAACCTGCTCGTTGCATCTTGGATGTACAATTTCCAATGTGTTCCTTCGACTACAGTTTCTACCTATTTAGGAAGGATTTTAAAATTTAAAATATGGCTTTGACTTGGATTGCAGGTTGGCTGGGATGAATCCACGGCAGGAGAGAGACAGCCTAGAGTGTCTCTATGGGAAATTGAGCCGTTAACAACATTTCCTATGTATCCATCACCATTCCCCCTCAGGCTCAAACGACCGTGGCCTCCAGGACTGCCTTCATTTCATGGTCAGCTTCTTACCACCTTTAAGGCTTAAAATATCCGCAATTTCTTTGACTACCTAATGTAGTTTCAAATTGCAAGCTAATTACATTTCAAAGACTGATTTATTTCTGCATCAATGGAAACTCATTCTCATTGCCCTCCACAATTTTCCTTGCTTGAAATGCTAGCAGGCATGAAGGATGACGATTTTGGCATAAATTCACCCCTGTTATGGCTCCGAGACACTGATAGAGGGCTTCAGTCTCTTAATTTTCAGGGGATTGGGGTTAGTCCTTGGATGCAGCCAAGGTTTGATTCTTCCGTGCTGAATATGCAAACAGATATGTATCAAGCTATGGCTGCTGCTGCACTTCAGGACATGAGGAGTGTAGATCCTTCGAAACAGCATCCTGCTTCCTTGCTTCAATTTCAGCAACCACAGAACTTCCCAAACAGGAGTGCTGCTTTAATGCAGGCCCAGATGTTGCAGCAGTCACAACCTCAGCAGGTTTTTCAAAATAATCAAGAGAGTCAGCATCCATTGCAATCTCAGCCACAAACTCAGACTCATCTTCAGCCGCATCTACAGCATCAGCACTCAATCAATAGTCAGCATAATTATCACAACCAGCAGCAGCAACAACAACAAACTCAACTGCAACAGCAAGTGGTAGATAATCAACAGCAGATTACGAGTGTAGTCTCTACAATGTCTCAATTTGTTTCAGCACCTCAACCTCAATCACCACCTATGCAAGCTATCGCTTCACTGTGCCATCAGCAAAGTTTTTCTGATTCAAATGGGAACCCTGTGACTACTAATGTTTCTCCCCTGCACAGTATCTTGGGTTCATTTCCCCAGGATGAAACATCCCACCTTCTGAACCTTCCTAGAACAAATTCTTGGGTTCCTGTTCAAAATTCAAGTGCATGGTCCTCCAAGCGTGTTGCACTTGATCCTCTCCTTTCTTCTGGAGCATCTCAATGTGTTCTGTCTCAGGTGGAGCAGTTAGGGCAGCCACAAAATACCATGTCTCAAAATGCTGTTACATTGCCACCATTTCCTGGTAGAGAGTGCTCAATAGACCAAGAAGGGAGCAATGATCCACAAAACCATCTTTTATTTGGTGTTAATATAGAGCCCTCATCTCTTCTAGTGCATAATGGGATGTCAAGCCTCAAGGGGGTTAGCAGCAACAGTTGCCCTTCAACCATGCCCTATCAATCTTCTAATTACCTGAATACCACATGCACTGATTCTTCATTGAATCATGGAATAACACACAGCATTAGCGATTCCGGCATCCTGCAGGCACCAGAAAATGCAGGGCATGGAAACCCACTGAACAAGACCTTTGTGAAGGTATGTTTTCCCAGTGGGAGTAGTATTTTTTCAAATCAAAACTTTAATTAATCATTATTCATGTCTTGCATTTTTGTTATTATTTGATAAATTTTTTTATTACAGGTTTATAAATCAGGGTCCTTTGGAAGATCATTGGATATTACTAAATTCAGCAGCTACCACGAGCTGCGCAGTGAGCTCGCCCGAATGTTTGGCCTTGAAGGCGAGTTGGAGGACCCTGTGAGATCAGGCTGGCAGCTTGTATTTGTTGACCGAGAGAATGATGTTCTTCTCCTCGGTGATGGCCCCTGGCCGTGAGTATTCCACACTGACCATGCCTTGCTCTTTGCTGTTCTTCCTTTCCTTTTCTATGCAAAATAGAAAACTAGATAAACTGAGGGACCTGTTTTCAATGATATGATAGTTTTATATAACTAAACCTCCTTCAGAAATAATGGAGTAGCATTAAACTTAAATTGCTTTTTGGCTTTCCATATGATAGTGTCATGATTTATATGTTGTGGATTTAAGTACCTTATTTCTTATGACATATGCATGATCTTTTTTATGACAGGGAATTCGTAAATAGTGTATGGTGCATCAAGATACTTTCGCCTCAGGAAGTGCAGCAAATGGGAAACTCCGGCCTGGAGCTTTTGAACTCGGTTCCGATTCAAAGGCTCTCTAATGGCCTCTGTGATGACTACGTCAGCCGTCAGGACCCAAGAAGTTTAAGCTCTGGGATAACAACTGTGGGGTCTTTAGACTACTGAAGGTTGAGACTGTTAATAGTCTGCATTTCTTCTATCTCTTGTAGTATTATCTTTGCTTCTCAAACCCTTTGCTAATGGTGGGAAGTGCTTCCCTACTAAGTGTAGTTTATAGCCTACTCTTTAGCCTTTTGTTTTGTTTTCCTGTTTTTCCTGCTAGGATCATTCATAAACTAATACTGTAACTATATGGCATCTAGTCTTTGTGCTAGCTATACAATATATACAATACTTAATCCATTAGGAAATCAATGCGTGAAGATAGTTCTATTTAAAATTTCTTATGCGGAACTTTTTTAATCTCGTTTTGGCCAAGTCTTTGTGGTGCATGAATTGACTAGAGAGTAAACTGGATAATGAATGGACGTGATGTTGAACTTGTTGACCTTTAGTGAGTTCTGGTTGAACTGTATGGTAAAATCTATCATGCATGGCTAATAGAAGGACGTAGATGACACTGCATGTGATGTTGGACTTCTTGACCTTGTTGTGTGATGGATAAACCATTAATTGGGAAAAGGAGTATGTGACTCTTTGAACATGATAAGGACATCAAAGCCATGTGATGCGTCTCTCTGATCATACAAGGATGGAAAACAAATCACTATGTCCTTCTACTAATGTTGTAGTGGCCCGCTTTGTCGTCTTCTTTGGTTTTGCCGATGCACCCTTTCCCTTTGGCCGTAATGTTTTTGCTTCACGAATGGCAAAGTGAAAGCTGTACATTTGTCCATTTCGATCTTGTTTAATCATACATGCTTGAAGCTTCCATGTTCCAAATATTTGGAATCTGTAGAGCATCAAAACTCCTTGCCTGCTTTGTCTAAGATGAGGTTTGTTGGGAAGGAAAAAGTTTAGAAACAATGATTGTTTCTTTAATGGATATATATGGCAAGCGTACAAATGACTAGATTTATGATATGATTAACTAAAAGTAAAAGGACAGCAACAATGCTAATTGCAATAAATGGCATTGAACTCAAGGAGCACTCATTTATAAGTTCTCTCCCAATAGTTGAGATTTGATGCCTACAAATTCTAGAGAGTAACAGCTTAGATGTCCGAGGGGGACAGCCGGGAACAAAACTTTAGTGTAATTGATGTACTGAAGTTCAGTAGTTCATTTATCCTAAGATATGTAAGTAGATCATTCCCTCATTAAACTTCAGTGTATTAGCTGCACCGAAGATTTTTTTTGGATACAAGGTAGAGAAGAATGATAAAATAAGCATGCATTTTTTGACACTTTTTTTACGTAGTTGTGTACTATTACATATTTGATTTACTACTCCCTAAAGTGCACCTATTGTTTTGGACGAACCAAATCCTGTTGATAAGTCATTATACAATGAGCAATGTTATTATAGAAAAACAAGTTCCCAATCCCTAAGAATTTTAGAAACTTATATTTATTTAGGTCTCTTCTCGTAATGCAAACCTTTGTATTGTAACTTTTTCATATCCTCCAAAGAATTGGAAATGCAAGTTAAAAAACAAAAGAATGTTGGAGGAGATAACCGAAGTAAGAAATAACAAGGATAAATTATCTGTATTTAATGTTTCTTTTTCTTTTATTTGCTTTTACTTAAGTATCTCTTTGACCCGAATTATATTCCGCTTAAAGAAACGGGGCCTTAAAAGAATGGTTTATACAACAATATTTTAATGAAGGATCTTAAAAGCTTGTCTTTAAGGAAGAAAAAAAATGAACTTCCGGATTATCACAATCTTCTCCTCCACTTTGCTCAACACCCTCGTCATGGGGATCATTTTTGATAAACCTTGTAACTCTATAGAGTTTCTTTGACCTTTTCAACGCCAAATATTCCAGCATATATAAATGGTTTTTCTTACTCCTTACTGGGAAATCCTCAAAGCTGTATAATATTTTTTTCCACATTATCCTTGCATTTTTTTTTTAATTTTCCTTCGGTCCAGGAAGCACTTTTCTGATCTATGCGTTCTTCATACCCTTACTTCAACCATGTCCCGTATAGATCTTGTGAAAGGAAGATAGTTTCAATTTGAGAATTCTAGTAATCATAGAGTTCACCATTGAAAACTGGAATCAGACTTGAAGTATGTGAGACAATTAATAGGTAATTAACAATGAACCAAGACTAATCAATAACAAATTAACAATTAACAAAGAATAAGTTACCCAACCACATAAACAAATCACTTGTATAAATCAATTTTTCGTTTGATAGAAACAAAATTGAGACGTAAACTCCCCAAAACTTGCATATCGAAATCACTCTTTACTATGAAATTGGAAACATAATTGTTGAAATCAAAAGCTTTACACGTATTGGTATTGGCAGATTTGACAGTGAGAACTTACATTCTCATAAGGTGCAGTGTTATAATTCATTTAATCATTTTCGCTTCTAGGTTTTTTTTTTCTCCTTTGAAAACTGTTCCACATTTAAATGAGTGAAAGGAAGAGGATAGAAGAAAGGTCTAATTGTGGTCACCTTTTTAGTTGTGGGCTTGTGGCACTAACTAGCTCCCCACTAGCAAATAGGTGGACAAAGAAGTTGTAGTTGAGTGTAGGTTTGTGCAATTTGTTTTGAGGCATGTTGTGGGGCTGCCTTATTTGTTGGGAGCTTTTTTCTGAGTGTGGAATGGTGACAAGGTAGGGCACTATCTACAATAATAATACCAATAAAAGGGTAGGGCTGACAACCCAACAACCCTAACCCCACCCTTTTATATTTTTAGGTGGGGAGTTATTCTTGATTCTTGAACTTGCATTCTACTTCTTTATCTTTCTTGGGACTGACTCTAGTCTCTGAATTTTGTGTGTGTCACCCACAACATGACCAAAAAGGTTGTAATAACCTCGTTTCGCACGTGCAGGGACCTTATCCTTTCTTGTTTCCCACCGTAGAAATTGGTGCTCCATCAGCACTCGTATGTCATAAAAAGTTTAGGCATGCGCCTCCTTAAGCATCCTGCAAATATTGCAAATATGTATAACTAATGTTTTAATTATCTAAAAAGTTTGGCTTTTTTGGGATGTAAATTTGCTTACGGGGGTGACTACGTAGGTAAATTATTCTTCAGTTATTAGGAAAAGAATGACAAAACAACGAGAAGTTGGCAATGCAATATTGCAAAGCTAGCATAACAAATTTAGCTAATCACGCCTTATGTATGAGAAGTGCTGGTCCTTGTCACAAAATTCATTCGCTTGCTTAAGTAACAATAATTTGTCAAAGAAAGGATTGGCGTTTGCAATGGCTCTAAAAAAGGTGGCTAAAGCATGTTACTTAGGGAATGTCTGGTAATGCACCTTGTTCATCTTATGAGATTGAGGCATTTCAATTTCACTAATAAATTAACTAATTTGATTCGAAGAAAGCGATTGAAGCTATACATCACTGAGAAAATAAAAAATAAAAATATTGGGGTCAATAAAATTATATTTTTGGTCTACCTGGAGTCAATAACTGTAATGAGGCTTATATACCAATGGTACTAATGAGAATAGTCACTTTTCGAGCCCAACGTGGTTACTGGACTCAAAACCATCTAAGTCTTTTACTCGTTTAGTCTTTGAAACCCAATGTTCTTGCTACTCTTGATTATGTGGTCTGAGTTGCAACTTATATGTCTAGGATTACTTTTGGGCATTAGAGGGGCATGTTTTTCATTTTGAAAGGGGTCTTATGTTTCCAAGCAAATTTGGCATTATTGGCTTCAACTTCAAGCTTTCAAGGGATGGCCTGTATTTGATTAATCAACCGAAAAAATAAATATTCACTAGTTGAGTATATGACATAATGACAATGTGTATTCGTAAGAGTGTATGGCTTTGAAAGACTTCAAAGATGTTTAATTTGACCATTATTACTAAGCTGATTCGTAACATATGGGTTTGGTCTAGTTCACGGACATCAGATTTCAAAGATGCATAATTTGTGCACTTGGGTCATCTCATCGACTTGCCTTATAGTTTAGGATTTCACATTAGTCATTATAATGTGAGTTTAGTAGCCCATCAACTGGTTGGAGCAGAAGTTGCGCACTGTTGCTATAAATATTTTTTATTGTGTCTTTCACTCATATATTGTTAAATTATTAAATAAGTTCAATTAGGTAATGTCCTATGTAGAGTGGTAATTCTAGGATTCAAATTCTTGATATAATATAAAAGTACACTAATAATAAATCAAATTTAAATTCCTCCTTAAATTTTAAATTTGTCATGATGGTGAATGGTGATGATAGGAATGTAATTTACTCTGTTCGTTTTGCTTTTCAATATGGAATTGAATTTATTGAACACACCCCCTTACCCCCCCCAGTGAGTGAGAAACTAATTTCGCAAGATATGGACATGAGTCAAAGGTAGCCCCTCATCCACTGATGGATATATGCTTTTTTATGATTCGTGCGAAAATAAAAAAAAAATATTATATTATAAATAAAAATACTTACAATACAATATCAACCCAGTTATATGATTAGATGTGGAGATAAGATTTTTCTTTAATTTTTTTTATTTGAAGGAAGGGATAATTATTAGAATTATTGAACTAATAATTTTATTATTATAAAAATACCATTTTATACATATAATAATAATAATAAATCAAATGCCCTCACTAATCCAATGATATTTTTTTTCTCTACATAAGAGTCCAACCCAAGATCACATGTCTAACTAACCCAAATTCATACTAATCAGGTCAACACATGTTGGTTGAATTTACTATTTCAAATTGGAGTAATAATAAACTTTGACTGAATTATATTTGGTAATTACAAATTCAAGATAAATAAATATTTTTGCTATTGAAATAGAAGAGGTTATACTTACAACTTATTTTCGTTTACAATCCGTTGATTTTCGTCAATCAACAATTATCATTTATTGCGAATTAATAATTAATTAATGAATTTGATTTGTGAAAATAATAACCGTTGATTAGTCGAAATCAACAATTAAGCTATGATTGTAAGAATTTATAAACGAAAATAGATTGTAAATATAACATTTTTCATTCAAATATTAGCAAGAAGTTTTATTTTTCCTTTTATTTTTTCTAAGTAAAAGTTTTCTTAGTCTTTACTGTCAGTTTGGGTTAGAGCAAGCTGGGGCCTGGGAGGAAGGCTATGGGCCCTAACTTGGGTTGGGCTTTTGGGTCAAATTGAGGAACCAGAGAGAGAGTGTGTGTGTGAGAGATCAGGGTTAGGGTTTATAACGTGTCGTACCATTTTCATTACATTCCCTTTCCTTGCGACTCAAACAGCCGTGCCGCTTGGAACAATGGTGATTTCTCATTCCCTTTCTTTTCTCAATTGCCTTTGTTTCTTTGTCTGTTATCGATTCATTGTCTTCTATTGCGTCTCTCTTCTTTGTTTTTAGGATTCACTTATTCTTCTGCGGTACAAATTATCTAAACGAATTTAATTGTTTTTTTTTCTTTCGATTTTCGTTGAAACAATGGTAGTCTTTTAGGAGAATCTATTTATTTGTGTTTCAATTTTCTGTTGAATTATTTGATGCAAAGAAGATGATCGAGGTTAAATTTTACAAATAAGGTAGCGAAAGTGTAACACAGGGAATAATTGATTTGTTTCTGTATAAGAGGAAAACGCTAAAGTTAGATTTACGAATATCTCAGTTATTCTCTAATTTAGGACTTCGGGTTTCAAAGAGAAGAGTGTTTTCAATTTCACACTGATACTCAATTATGCTTTGTTATCTTCATGCCAATTTTGCAATTGTCCTCTGAATATGTGTGTGGTGTTTTTTTGTGTACAGCCTAAGCAAATCCACGAGATTAAGGATTTCCTTCTCACTGCCCGAAGGAAGGATGCGAGGTCGGTGAAAATCAAGAGGAGCAGAGATGTGGTTAAGTTCAAGGTCCGATGCTCCAAGTACCTCTACACACTTTGTGTGTTTGATCCGGAGAAAGCTGATAAATTGAAGCAATCACTTCCTCCAGGTTAGTGATGGATTTTGCATTCTTGGAATTTTACATTTATTGTAGTGTTGCATACCTTCGGTTGACTGTATATATGACAATGATGATATATCCATAACAAATTGCAGAGTATTTGGTTGAGGGGTTTACATAACTTTAGGTGACCAAATTTTGGACTAGAAAATGTTTTTAGAACTATTTTAATTTGATTAAACATTAATAATGGTTATGTACTTTTGTATATGTCTTTAATGTTGTGAAAAATAAACGGAATAATTTATGCTTTGACTCAATTATTTTAGTTTGTTCTATATAGTCTTGGTCATTTTGTGCCCAACAACTTATAATGCTCATGATGTTTGCAGGTTTGAGTGTTCAAGACCTGTAAAACGTACTGGGTGAGAGTCCAAGGAGAAGCATTTCATTCATTCTTCTGATGTTTGTTTCTCTGTAGTTGAAGCCTGGGATTTTTGTGAGTTGATGTTATATTTAGATAATTGCTAGGAGATGGTTATCTCATTTGTTTTGAAAAATGAAACTTGATTTTATGTCTAATGGAATATTTCAGCGTTGTGGAACTATATACGTGAATTCATTTGTCTGTTTTATTTTTTACTTTGCCTTTTTAGCAAGGCTACAATATCAGATACTATGCTTGTGATTGTGACGGTAGAATTGAGCATGCGGTCCTGTGCTCTGCAATTTTTTTGTGATAAACTTTGGGGATGGAGAAGAGGAAGAATTGGATAATAACAATTAATAATTTGACTTATTTAATGAATCAATTTAATAGAGGCAATTAACAAATACGTTCCCATTTAGAGATTGAATCTCTCCTGTAGGTAATGTAGCCATTTATCTGCCAGATTTTTACTTTAATTCCTTACTCAATTTCAAATAGCAATAAGAAAATTTTCGACCATCTATGATACTTGGATACCCAAGTAATCCCTCTATACTTTTGTTGGGCACATATTAGGGGGTTGTGAAATATTCATTCGATCAGCAATCTTCAAATATGTGTGATACATCTATACTCTGCATGAGTTGATTTACCATCTCGAAAGGCCTTGAGAATGTGGAAAGAAGTGAGGAGCTCTGGGAGTTGCTCTACAACTGCGAGATAGATATTTTTGATTGGATTCAAGGATGTTGCTGGCTCATGATTTGGGAAGTTCATAATGGTGTATTGCCATCATGACATTGGAGGACGTGTGAATTCAAAGTAAGCTAAAATTTTCAGGGACTGAAAGTTCAAAACTTCATGTTTGCTGATAAAATTTATATTCCTACAAATTCTTTAGTAGCCTTTTTTCTTGGAGTACATGCTTAGACAGCCAATTTTAATTGTAAGGAATTAAAATGTATTAAAGCGAGAAAAAAATAATGTTTGGGCGTTCTTCATACCCAGCACTCAATGGTAATACCAAATACGAAATATTAATATCCTTTCCTCATCCATGAGCATTATCTGCACTGCATATGTTCCACATGAATTACGCTGAAAACGTGTAAAGATCGTAATATCTATAATCAAGTGCTGAGGGCCTAGACATCAAATCAGTATGAAGATTACGTTAATAGAAAGCTCAACTCAACTGGAAAAAAAACTCAGGTAGGTAAGTAAACATTTCATTTTTTTCTTTAACAATTTGAAGAAAGACACATTTCTGTGACTTGTGACTTGTGACTTGTGATTTGTGAAGATCAACATTTGGTTTATGTAGAAACTCGCACACAGGTGTTTGACAATTACAAGGTTTCACTGATGTATAAAATTAATGCCATCTTTGAATGATCGAAATTTACCAAAGAAGCAATCTTAGTGAGGATCCTTTTTTTGTAATTGGAAGTGGCCACTGTTCATTTTTCCTGTTTGGCGTATGTATTCTGCTTTGGCCGTAGTTCTTAGTATTGGCTGTTCTAAGCTTCAATTGTTAATTGAGAAGTCGCTCTATTTTCTTCTTCTTCTTTGAATGGCAATTAAGATTGCTTTGCTTAGATCAACATATGGAAAATATCTACAGTACTATGGGAGTACTGAAAAGTGAAGAGTCAATGCATCTTTCATTAAATAAGGAAAAAATAATATATTTATCTTTCCCATTTTCCCCACCTTTTATGATTTTTTCCCCCCAAATCCCCACCATTTTCTACTTTTAGTAAAGGAGTATGTGCTAAAAAATATGATATTCCTTTATTCCAATTTTAATTTTGGGCCTTGTGGTGGTACTGTATCTCGTGGTTGAGTTGCAGTTTGTCTTTTCGGTCATGTAAGACAAACTAGGCGACTAGGCCTAGAAAACCAAATAAAGCGGGAGAATAACACTTAAACCGGGGCTTATCTGGTACACAGATAAGATCACAAGACAACCTATTAAGGAGGCAACACACTTCTTTGGTGAGTTGCAAATTGCAATCAAATGAATCACAAGAAAATTGTTTTTACTTATCACAAATGAATCACAACAATCAAATGAACTATAAGATTGTTCATTGTTGTTCCTCTAACAGAGTTTAAGCAGCCAGCCCAATCTCTTGTTATCATTGTTTTTACTTATCTTGCTGTATGTTTTTACTGAAGATTAAGGGGGTGTATTGGATTGAGATTTCAAAGGATTTTAGTGGATTGTTTTTGGACAAAAAAATCCGTTGGTATTCGATTAAGATTTTAATGGATTGAAAAAAAATTACGTGATATTCGATTAGGATTTTAAAGGATTATTTTAGAATCCGTCCAAATCCGTTGGTATTCAATCAGGATTGTAAACAATGGAATCATAATCTCGTGGTATTCAAAAATCCGACGATTTTAATGGATTTTCTATTGGTGAGGATTTCGTGAGACTTTTTAGTGAAAAATATAAATAAGATCCCTCTCTCACAATCTCACCCCAACCCCTAAGATTTCTTGAGATTCTTCTATTGCAGTGTTTTCTTTTTCCTTTGGTAGGTTGACTACTCGAATTTGGGTTCCGCCATGGGAGCTTCGTCAAAACTAAAAAAAAAAAAAAGAGCATATTTTTTTAGCGATTTTCATCACAAAATAACCCAGAAACAAAAAACCAACGAGATTTTAATATAATCTATCTCAAAATAACATATTTTTGAGCCATTTTTGAGAAATTTTGGAAGTTTAAAAAGTGATTTTTCAAGCTATGGGTCGCGATTTTTCTTGTCACAAAAATGTGCTTTTTGTATTAAAAACAACATAAAACAGTGAAAAAATAATAGGAGAACTTTCGTATTATTTTCGGTTTACATCAATGAAACAATATCAATTTAAAGAAAGATTGAAACTTTCATAATATGAACCCTATATTTCGTAATAATACATTCATGAACGAAATTCTTTCACTATAGGAAATGATTTCAAACAATTTTTGTGTCAATAGATAACTAAAAGCTTGTTTCTCAAAAGCCCCAAAGCAATTTAAGGTTTCAATGTACCGATTAAAAAATTTTTAAGAAATTTTCTAAACTTTCATGTAATTAAACTCAAAATTTCAGATTCAAAATTTTCTTAATATTCAATGAAAATATGCATATAATATATGGTTAGAAAATTCCAAAAACTCCAAGGTTTTCAAGATCAATTGCATAAAAATTCTAAACGAAATTTTATCATGAACTTTAGGTTTTATATGCAAATTTAGAATTATTTTTATAATTAAAAAAAATTGGGTATTATAATCATATATGCATAGCTTTGATACCAAATGAAGAAGATGATTTTCAACCTGTTCAATATGTGAAAAGCTGTTGTTTAGTAATTTTAAATGTTTGTTAAAAATTATATTATTGTTTGGGGCATGATATACTTACCACCAAAAAAAATTTACCACCTTTACAATCAACCTAATAACCATTGATTTCCTTCAATCTAACGATTATAATTTATTGGGAATTAATAAATACGACCTAATAATTTTCAATAAATTATAACCGTCAGAATGACGAAAATCAATGGTGATTAAGTTAGTTGTAAATGTTGTAATTTTTTTTTGTGGTAAGTATATCCTTCTCCATTATGTTTTACTGATTGAGAAAATTATATTTGGTTTTACTTTTTTTATTAATTTCATTGTATTTCTTTGTTAATTTTTTAATGGGAAAGATTATACTTACAACCTATTTTTGTCTACAAACTTTTACAACCATATCATAACCGTTGATTTTCGTCAATCAATGGTTATTATTTTTCCAAATCAAACTTATTAATTAATATTTAATTTGCAATGAATGATAACCGTTGATTAACAGAAATCAAAGGTTAAGATATGATTGTAAAATATTGTAAACAAAAATAGGTTGTAAGTATAACCTTTCCCTTTTGTACTGACTCTTGTAATTTTGAACGTTTGTTAAAAATTTATATAATTTTTTAAAATCTTATAAATCCATATTGTCCTTTCAAATCTTATGAATTCTATTAAAATCCTTTAAAATCCAATCCTATGAAATCTTGATTGTAAAAAAAGTCTTTTAAAAAAATCTATAAAGTCCCTTCAATTCTAAAATGTCATTTAAAATCTGTAGAATTTTTTATCTTAAAAAAGTCTTTTAAAATCCTAATACAATACAACCCCCTTTAAGACCATCCAGCCCAAAGCCACATATACATTTCTTTGTCAAAATTGTAGTTGAAGGTCTCATCAAGTGTATGGCTACTTGCTTAATATTTCACTCACAACAGTAGACTATTAGTATATATGACTCCATTTGAGGTGAAGTCAAATAAACTCCAACAAACCAAAGCATAATCTGTGTGTAATTGTTATTAGAGTTATTACCATTTACCATAACATTGTTCTCGTAAGCCTAAAAAATGTGTTCCCCTGGTGGATTTAATTGTACATTTCTCCCGTTAACCTTTTATGTAACATCTTTTGATGGTTTATCTGTAACTTCAATTTGTGAAAATTAAAAATCATTCTAAATGCTAATAGTCTAATTAATTTATCAGGCCAAAGAAAAAGAAAAGAAAGAAAGAAAGATTAGTAGTTATTCTTTCATTGAGTTCTAATATATAAATCGATTTTGTAAAAGTAATATACAACCTTTACAAGAAAATGGGGGATGAAAAACTTAGCAGAAGAGGATGGTTTAAAACTTGGAAATCTTTTAGAGTTGTGTTGTGTCAGTTCTGCATAACCTGGCCTTGTCTGCTCTCATTCCCATTTTCGAACATCTGATGAGGAGAAATATTGTAGTTAAGATTAACTACATTGTCACCAGTAACATAGACTACTCGGAAAATATCATACTTCATGTCGATAGAGAAACGTTCAAGATATGGCATCATCCATTTTCTATGGTCTGAATTGAGAATCCATGAGTAACAAAAATGGAGAGATTTCCACACATGAATGCATACCACTATGGGTTTGCTTTGTCCTTTCAAGCAAAGTCCCGCAGTTATGCCTTCTATTTTGGCAAAACGAGACCTAAAAATTGCTAAGACAGCGTAGCAGAGGTCATTCTGGTCACTACTTGTGGTGACTGCTGAGTTCAGTGATATTATGTCCCCATTAGAGAATTTTGCAGTTGAAGACCCATCTCTTGATTCTCCAGCGTATGCTTCAAGGAAGCTATGTTCAACTAACACAGCCATGCTTGATATGTTGGATAGCATTGATATCTGTAAACAAAAAAATATAAAAAATGAATAAAGGTGAAAAACTGATCAGGGTTTGTTGATTAACGTGTAAGATGAAATAAGAATAAGAATAAGAATTTTGATTAATATTGAAGATATAAAATGCTTAGTAGAAGGAACCATTCTTCCTTTATAAAATGCACACACACACACACACTGAAGATATGACATATAAGTATATATATGACAAAGTTTAGTTCTCATAAAGTATTTAGCAGAATTTCATGTCTTCTTTGTTCTTATAGATGTCCAAGTAATATAGTGTAGCTATCCTGTTGAAGCACTGAAAATCCATTTTAATGATCCAAGAAAGAAAAGAAAGCACACCACTGGTTAGGATCAAACTTACAAGGGTTGATTTCAGCTGCTCTTTTTCCTTACTCGACTGCTTCTGCCATGCTCCATACCATATGATCTGATTACAGGGCACAAATATTCAGCCCAATGTGAACAAAAGAATCTATAAAGAAAGATAGAAAACATCGTTGCATGATATGATATGCCCAGTGAAAAGGAGTTCATACCAAGAAATTAGCACTAACACTGAACATAACATTAACTATGGGACAGATGAAAAAAACTGACACATTTACTGAAATCATGGACATCATTGTTTCACCTCAACTTAACAATCAAAAAATATAGTTAAGGAATACTTAAAAGGGAGGAGTTATATTGACAAACTTTTTTCTTATAAATTTACAAACTACAATAAGTCTGACCAGTCATACTTCAATCAAGAGTGTATGACTGGTCAGACTTAGTGTAGTTTGTAAGTTTGTAAGAAAAAAAGTTTGTCAATATAACCTTTCCCGTACTTAAATCAATAAAATCAGTGTAGTTGTTTTAGAAATTTTGAATTTTGTGCTTCTAGTTTAGGAAATTGATTATTACCCAGAAGCCAAATGGTAAAAATAAATTAAATAATTAATTGAACAGAATTACAGATGTTAAGCTATATATCTATTAATTGATGACAGATTCAACCATTACAGATGGTAGACTACCATGTAACAATGGCATCTGAAGTTGTCATTCACTGAAAGATAGTAAGAAAAAGGTTTCATAAACTATAATCAGCGAAGTTTCAAACAAATTGAATCCAGCAGGAAAAGAAAGAACATATACTTCAGAATTGAGATAATTAAGTTAAGAGAAATCAGCAAAAATGAATTGAAAATTGAAAACTAAAGAAAGCAAAAAACTTACCATATTTCCATGGATGCTCCTAAATATAGAGCTTTGAATACAACCAAGGCTCTCTGTGTTTAAGGAGAACTGTTTGAGACCATGAACAACATTATCTACGATTACAATTGTTGGCTTGAAAACAAAGAAGCTTACGTCCAAATTTTTGTTGTGAAAAGGCACAGAACATGCCATCCTCTAGTTTGTATGTTCCTATTCTTCCTTTCAACTCTTCTCTTCACTAACGATGTTTTTGTTTTTGAGAGTCATCAAATATGAGAAGCAAACCACAAGACACGCATACCAGAAGCTTCCATGAATACTAAGTTTGCTTTCAAGAATGGTTCCAATCTTGACTTTGGTTCTAGAGGAATTCAAGTCGTTGTTTCCTTCTGCTTGGTCTTGTGTTGTTTCTTGTAAACTACTGAGATTCTACAATGAATAAGGCTTGGAAATGTAGACGAAAGACAGTCACGTGCATTGACTGGTTCTACACGTTCACATCTATTTTAACAAAAAGCGATAGAAAATGATGCTAGTTAAATTGGTGCATGCGCAGTTGAGCACGAGAGTATGTATTTGATTCTTTCCAGTATCATATTTGGGAGGTGGGAGTGAGAGAATCCTTCCCAGTATCATATTTGGAAGGGGTTTAAAGCCTTTATCGCGTATTCGCTTTAAACAAGATTGTCTCCCATAAAAGATACATGTGATTTATCAAAAAAATAAATAAAAAAATAGAAAGATATTTTATACCTATGAAATTTCTCCTTGATGGTTGTTATATATTTGAATTACAATTTTTGGAAGTGAAGATGTTAGAATTTGTTTAACTTGACTTAACTTTCATTTTTTTTGAATTAGAACAACTAATATTATTTTTAATCTGGTAGAACAAATATAATATTAGATAAAGCTTATGGGAAAAAAATATCTAATATTACTTTAGACAATTTTATTTAATGTTCATCAAAATGACGTTATTTTGGAGTTGAAAAATTTAAAAATTAGAATGATAAAAACTATTATAACCCTGAAATAAATTAAAATTTTAAATACATCATGATTTCTGCCTCAAAATAATGTTACTTTGGTGAACATTAGACAAAGTTGTCTAAAATAATTTTAGAAAAAACGAATCCAAAACTTATATACCTCATTCTTCTAAAAAAAGAAACTAAGCCTCACTCTTCTATATAAAAAAATGTTCATTTTTTCTGCAGTTAATGCAGATAAGTTATTTGCAGTAAGGTCAATACGACATCGTTTTGGGCGAAAATCATGGTATTTTTATAATTTTAATTTATTTCAGGATTATTATAGTCTTTATAATTATAATTTTCTAATTTTTCAATCTCAAAACGACATCGTTTTGGAAGTAAATGTATATTTTTATGATAAAAAAATGAAAGATAAAAACTTACATAAAATTCTTATTTCTAATAAAACTATAACGTGTATTATTGTAGTCACCTTACTTCTTTTTCAAACTTTTCACAGTCGAGACATAAAAAAATAATGCACATGCAATTTTTATTTTTATTTTTAATTAAAAGACAGAACTAGAAACACCCAAAGAATTTCAACTAAGGATTGTCGTATAATATTTTGACCCATTCAAGGTCTATGATCGACTTTCGATACTTATCTTTATGGCTTATATATAAGCTTACCTAAAGAGAACCAATTAAAGCATAGCGGGTCAAACCAAACTTTACCGACGACTAAATTAGATTGGGTGACTGGATTCCAGAAGTGCAACCTACGGCAATGTTCAATTTATGATTTATTTCGCATAGTTCAGAGCATGATATAATCATATTCGGTATGCAGGACAATTTCATGAAATGAAAGATTCCTGTATATAATTACTATTCTGATCAAATTTGCGTACACTATAATTTGTTTTCTGAAAGAAAGCATACTAGGCTCTTCTTATAGCAATTTTTTTTTTTTTTTTGGTTATCAAGTAGTTAAAAAATTTAATTTGAATATTACTCATTAAGAACGTAAAACCGAAAAGAAAAACCCTTTTCCATTGGCGGAAAAAATCCTCCTTTTAAAGTCGCTTACTCTGAAAGAAGACCAGTGCGGGCAAAACTCAATGTTAAGTTGACCATTTATTAATAACTATCACCATATGTTTGAAGAATACGTCCTTCAACCAGCAGATTAGTTGCGTGTAGAGAGCGACTCACTGTGACTGCAAAAGAAATTAAGGATATGGTGGGTTTTCTATACTCTTTAAACTCATTGACATCCAATTTGTTTTCCAGCATCAAGGAGTCCATTGTCAAATTGTCTAATACAGCTTTCAGGAGTTTCGTTAGAAAAATCGAGATTTCCATCATAATAAGTTATCCTTGTTATATCCAGAAATGCCACCTGTACCAAAATGTTAGTTCCTTGGACTCTGGTAGAAACTGAGGATGTTCTTTAAAAAATACAAAGGCGTTCTCCAATCTAATTAAGACCAACAGTATGCGGTATATATTGTCACATGCTTTACCCTGCAAGAACATGATAGCACGTATTAAAGATTTAAGAGCAGTAATATATTTGAGAGTCAATATGTCTACTGATATAGGAATCCAAGGAGGGGAGAAGAACCATTACGTGCATGTTTATCAGTATTAAATACATAATCAGTTCCAAAGGTGTGCTTGTTTTAGGAGGCAAAAAGCTTAGAACGAAGGTTACTTCATACTAGTTAGGAACAACAAAAACGGTGGGGTGGGGGGGAAGTGGAAGTGGAGTGCCACTCATTTACCCTCTACCTCATAGATTTATCTACTTCTATAGTGTGAAAGGGATTTCAAAGTGGTTTTCCACTGACCAAGCAACAATGAGTGAAATTTATCTTATCCCACTCAATTTTCACTCCCCGTCCAATTTTCTACCGATTCACCATCCATCATCCATAAATTAACACACCCTGAATGTCATTCACTTCACAATTTATTAATGAAAATTCTACAAAATAGGGAAAAAAAAAGAAAACAAAAAAGGTAATAGTATTCCAGCAATGTGAGCATTTAGCAGGCAAATCCATCCCAAGATGGATGAGACATCAAACACAAAATGCATGCCACTGATCATACTGAAAAATTCATATCCTAATTCTCCATGTACCGCTCTTGATGAGAAAAAATGGAGACTCAGTTCCACAAGGCATTACCTTTCTTTACTATAAGTTTATGGGGACTCTCAAACCATCACGAGCAAGCTGCACCGGAATTCCTTCCCTAAGCACAATAATAGAAGAATCAACTCTGGCAATTTTAAAAATCCACAACATACCTCATAGTACAAAGATATATAGTTGAATTACATTCACACGGCCCTATATTCCTATCGAATTGTCAGGTCAATTATTACTAAATGTATTTGCATCAGTTAAGATTTGACTTCTTTAAAAATGGATAAGACATGTACCTTCTGGACCACTCTGTCAAAAACTCATTGTCCTTTTGGTGATCAAACTCGTGAGTCATTCCAATCAGTAGGGTTTGCTTTGGACACAACCTCTTCACAGTTTCAAGAGTCTGTAGAATTACCAATTAGTAACAACATTTCACAATCAGGGCAATATGAAGTGTAAACATCATCTGTAAAATGAAAAACAAACCTGTGGAAAACAAAGGTGAACATTATGTGTTCCAGTCTGCGATAATAAGAAGGAAAAAGGAAACATTTATAACTGAGAAAGAAAAACAAAAGAAAAAGAAAACTAAATCACGGAATTGAGAACATGTATCACGACATTATCACCAAAAAAGTATAATAAAAGGCAGTAATCCAAATGATCAACAATGCTACTTGAAGCACAATACAATGAGACTAAAGTTTAATTGTTACATTCGTAAATATTTATGTTAAAATTAAAAGAAAACAGGAATGAAAGGAAACATTAGTGTTTTATTATTTTAAAGTTGAAGATATGCTCAAGTTCCTGAGACTTTTAAAGCATTTAGGTGCAGTACATGTGCACCGAGTATTCATATTATTGGCCTTCTTTGATGAAGTTATTAAACTTGTAACAAAGAAGTGATATCTGTCATGTATAAACAAAATAAAATAAATGAAAAAAAATTACTCCTGCAAAGAGACAATAATATTCCACAAAACAAATTAACAAAAGATTGGATCAGATCAAGCCGTAATAAACAACAGTTAAGTAAAAAACACTGTATAACACTGCAAGTAGGCAAATTCTCTCCCCAGGAGAGAGTGACATTATGTTAGAATCTAGAACCTGACTAACAAGAAATGATGCAGCATATCAGAAATGAAGCATGTTGAGTGACAAGAAATCAACTAAAAATTTCTAGATGAGATACTTCTGTCTGTTGAGTGCACATGCACTAATGCCCATTGTGCATGGAGAGATCCTTTGGTGCCATATTATGTACATTATACAAATTCAGTAGCTGAATGTAACTGACATATATATCTGGAAAATACAACATTTTTATCATATTTATACCCACAACAATTGAAAATGGAATACTGACCCTATACAATGAATCCAATATAAGAAGATCCAACTGTCCAGCTCCACTTTTCGAAATGACTGTAAAATGAAAATTTATTGCTAGAAGTTAGATGTCAAAAATCATACAGCTGAGGGTTTTCTTATTAGGAACAGTGACCAAAATGCCACTGTTCCCCAACTTTTTTACCTAAATGCCACGCCAACAGTATTAATTCCCAGTATGCCATGTGGGCAAATTCGCTACCTGAGGTAGCGAACTTGATTGCAATTATTGCACCTGCATGCCACGCCACATGGCAACATGCAACGAAGTTCGCTGCCCCCCCTAGCGAACTTCGTTGCATATCTACCACGTGTCATCGTGGCAAGTGGAAACGTACAGGTGCAATAATTGCAACCAAGTTCGTTACCCCAAGTAGTGAACTTGGTGTCCATTAGGAACGTGACACGTCAGCAAACTGAGTTCGCTACAGTGTCCAGCGAACTTGCCCACGTGGCATATTGGAAATTAACACTGTTGGCGTGGCATTTAGGGAAAAAAGTTAGGGAACAGTGGCATTTTGGTCACTGTTCCTTCTTATTATGTATAAATGCTTCAAACACAAAACTTGTCATCTAGAACTGAAGATGTTTTTGCAATCTTAAAAGGTATGAGTCCTGTCTAGAGTACAGCAATGATGGCTGTGTACACCACACCTCCTAAGATGACCAATATGTCCTCCTTTTTCAGTTAGGAGATAAGTATGAGAGTCACAATTGATGATAAAACAGATAGATAAATTATCTCTTAGCACACTTATAGTACAACTTTGTGAGAGAGCACTGATGAAGAAATGCATATGTCCAAGCAGGAAGAAACTGCTTTAAAACATACCATATTCTGTACTTGCAGGAATCCGTGAAACATCAGATATATAAGCCACCCTACTTTTCTCACCAAAAAGAAAGCCCAAACAGATATAATCCTCTCCATGCATAACCTACATCCACAATCAAAACAGTGAGATCCCATAATACAAAAGGAAGTATTGCATTCTTATGAGGACAAAGATTGTGGGCAATTAACTGGTAAAGGAATGAATTTTAATCCTGATGCAAAAAATGGTCGATTGCAGTCATCGGCAATAATGTTCCAGGCAATCTGAGCTACCCTTCGTATTTCTTGCCCTTCCTTGCGTTTTTTCTGAACCAAATAAGGGAACTTCTCTGCTATGCTGTTGTAAAGGTTTAAAAAACATGGATTTAACTACTGGACAGAATATTACAGCCAAAAAATCAAATAAAAGGGGCATAATGCTGAGATAGAAGTTACATTGTAATCAAAACAATTTTCCAAGCATACAAACATCCAAATTCAATGGTGGGGAAGTGCATACAATGCACTGGTTTCATCTCGAAGACTCGTAAAGCTGCAAATGCTGAGCTATTAGATTATTTTGAGAAAGACTAATTTTTTAGGCGTTTATTTAATTGAGTTATTGCATATAATCACACTGTGATAACATAATTTGCATCATGTTTATTGAATATCAATGAGCCGTGTTGAACAGTGGAGTACTTTTTAACTGACTGACTATCATGCTGCCTTTTAGAGTTAATGAGATCTATTTTGTGTTAATTAACCATGCATGCGATGAGAATAGTCTAAAAGGATGTGTAACAAAAAGTTGTGTGTTTATCTATATCTTCTAAAAGAACTATAAGTTTGTCTAGAGTTCAAGTGCAATGTCAGAACTTCTACTTTAAGCATGTAATGCAAAGTATAAATAATAATAGCGGTAGATATGCTCCAATTTGGGATGTTTTCTGAGCCAGTTTATTCACTAAAGGCACAAATTCTTGAAGTCTTGATAGTGTTCGGATATTTGACTAACTAATTTTGCATTTGAGCAAGGAATGATGGTTCAGATACTATTTGATAGTTAGGGTTACTGTGTACAGACTTATTGAATCTTAAGGTAGTGTTTAGCGTGCGAACAGAACGGAATGGAACAGTCTTGTTTTATTCTGTTTGGTTCCACCCTTTTTAGTGGAATCAAAATGTACTACATTTTAACCTTATATCCTATTCTTTTCTATTTTTGCAATGCACCAAGCATAGAATAGAACCCATATATTATGTTATGTCCTGTTTTGGCAAGTCTATCAAATGCAACCTAAGGGATGTTTAAGTAGGATTTGAAAATAGAGGGAAGGTGCATGTAATTTAAGCTAAATCAGGGATGTAGTGCTAATTTATCAACAAATAAATTAAATAACAAGCAACGGTTACTAGAGGTACCTATCCATTGAATGCTGACTCAGGTATATGAGGGTGGGATCAATATCATTTGTTGGACTAAAAGGCTGCACAGCACGTATATCATCCAATCCAAGGACTGCATCCGCATGTTCATGAGTTAAAATAATCTGCAATTCAAGCAAGATTTAATTTTTTTTCTCTCAGAATGTGAATTTCATATCAATATAAATTGCAAGGAAATAATACGAAAAAGGAAGAAAAACTAATCTAAAAGCAGAGTTGTAATTAATTCAAGTCCTCAAATTTCCTAGGTTAATAACAATTACCATACTCCTGGGCTAAGATTCATTTATACGTTGTTTTCCCTAAAATGACTTTTACCCTGGAAGAATTTATAATTTTATCTGAACCCTCGGCATTGCTTCTTTGGATAATTTAATGTGTCTTTACAGAATGGCACCATAGGTTCAGTTTACACAATGCGCCAATGAAAACTACCGAATTTAAGAGGCTCAGCTCAGGTTACTGACATTCTCACAGTAAGTAAACTAAACTTTGATTCTGATTTTATTAATTAGTGGTGGTAAAATTCATTATTTCGACTGCTCACCTTACCAGTTATATTACCTACACAGGAATGGAAACATTACTGAGCTTTTCCTTGCCTAAGAAATATTTTGATGCTTTCACCATGGCCCTGCCCTCTCTCTTCATGGCATACACTAGATATCTCTAACAGCATATATCTGAAATGAAATATCCCTTAAAAAATTCAGGTGCTCTGAGATAGGCAAACTCTTTTAAAGCACCTCTCTCCAATGAATATTAAATACTAAATTTTTGATATAATAACTAAATTTTTATAGACATACTAGAAACAATAAGACCCTGATTTTTATCCTGCATGGTAATAAACCTTCATTTTTTAACTTGCTGGGCTCATCTGACAGACGCCCACTAATATTGAGAAACATAAGTATGCAGTAATAATAATATTATTTCTAGGGTATCATTTAAAATCTCCTTTCCCGCTGTTACAAATAGCTACAGAAGACAGATTATAAAATAAGGAAGCTAAAGTACAAAGAGAGCTCTTGATACTCAGACTAGTATGTTACCCTAGGTTGGGCATTTTTATATCAGTTATTTTAGAGAAACACCAACAGGGACAACTGTTCAAAACATCCACAACATTGCTCAAGAAAGGACATTGTGGATAGCCCAGAAGCCAAATTTTCAGTTAAGTTAGTTTGGAATAAAGGTGTTGTTGATGTTGAGGAATCTAAGGAGACCGTGCACCATTTAACAAATTTTCTCATTCAAAAATGAAAAATTTCCATTACAAAAATATCTCTGATAGCTCAGGAGATCAGAGCTAAGAAATAAATCATTTCATATTTTCAATAACAAAAGCATTCGGGAGAACATTTTTCCAGAGGAAGCAAGCCATTCCTTGGCTTTGCTTTAGTTATGAGACAAAAGCCTCTTTAAGATACAATGGATAAACAATAGCAAAAGAACTGCAGTTGTTTGTTAGATAGGCCAAGATCCCACATTAAACTTATTGCAAGTATGCAGCAAGAGCAGGGTAAGAATACAGCCAAGACATCTGGAAGAGTAATGCCTAGGTATGAAATGCAACAGAAGCAAAGACAAAGAATTTGTTTTTTATTGCAATTTATGTAATCATCAAAAGATTAAGGAGAAAATGAGAGCAAACTTCAAAGCTATTAAAAGATATCTAAGTCACATCTCAACATTGCACTCTACAATGAAGACATTGATTTCACTTATTTTTCTATATCAAGGAACTATCTCTAAATTAGGGTTGAACACCACAAGGCATCAATAGTAAAATTCGCAAATTTAAAAAAAAAAAAAAAGTTGACAGGATTAACTCACAGAATCTATTCTTGGAATCTTATGGGAAAAAAACCATCTAAGTACTGCCTCCCTGAATGTCTTCCCGACATCAATCAATATATAGTTGTGATTACCGTTGCTTTCACAATAATCAATTAGAAGTGAAGTATTACACCTGTAAAGCCATAAAGTGTTAAGATATCTACACACATCATGACACAAAATCAAGAGTAACAACAAAACTATGGACCGTTCAATTTTTCTTTCTTCCCCTTTTGCGAATCGCTCAAATACTGATCTTGAAGCCATTTCTTCTGCTAAGCTGTTGGATGCGTTGTCGGTTACGAAATAATATAAGGCAAAATGAAAGATCACCTGTAATTAGGGTTCTGCTCGGGTGGGAGAGACAATGACTGAACACAGACGGGACAAGGAGGATCCGCGGGCTGGATCAGACACATTACGTTGGGAACCATGCTGGAACAACCTGTCCCTAGAAAGATCAATGCCGATTCCGAAGGAGTGGTTGCGCGGTGGTTTACGTCGTCGGAGCCGTTGGGAGTGGCCATTGCCGTGACGGCGGATCCAAGAGAGAGAGAGAGAGAGAGAGAGAGAGAGAAAATGAAAAACAAAAAAAGAAGGGAAGAAAAAGTGGTCGTTGTGTTGTAGAGAAAGTATATATTCCAAGGGCTTTATTTATAGGCAAACTCGTACCCGCCAAAATCAACGGCTTTCACTGATTGGTCATTTTTCTTCTAACACTTGCGGTGATAATAAATTTTCAAGAGTAATGCCTCTTTTTGTCTCAAAAATACGTATTCACCTTAGTTTTTTATAAAAAAAAATTAGTCCCTTGCTTCAAGTAAAATTTAAAGTGGATTCATTTTAGTCTTTTTGAGTAGGGATATTCATCAACCGATTCAAACTGCCGTGACCGAACCGAAAACCGATAACTGAATAAACTCAAAACCGAAAAATCAAAAACCGAAAAAAAACCGCAAATTTTAATTGGATTGGATCGATTTTTGGATGGGTTGATAAAAATCGATCCAATCCAAACCAATCCAATATATTAATTCCCCTCTATCTACTTGGGTCTTTCCCCAACCATAGCCCAAAAATTTCTAAATCCAAGACCTATTAACCCATAAACTAAACCCAAGAAAAAATCTAGTCACATCTCATTAACAAAATTTCACCTGTGTAAAGCTTCATATTAGTAACACCCCAGTCTAGAACTGGTTTGTTAACATCACGTATGGCATTAGGCGCAGTTACAATCACAACAACTGAATTAAAGTACAGATGAACTTTTTCCTTTTTCCGTTAGTGAACATTTATATTTAGAATCAAATCCGTAATTAAAACAATTCCAATAGTTGTAACCATAACTTAAACTATGTGTAGAACACCTAACGAAATTTTATTTAAACCATACGTTGCTACCCTAGTGTGCCAAGTAGTCCCCTTAGACCAACAAGGCTTATAAACTCATTTTTATTGTTATTAAACACTAAACATCTCCACTCTATGTTTATTTAAGAAATTCCTATACTACTGTTATGATCTTCATCTTCCATTATGTTATATAATTCTTCATTAGCTACGCGTGGGTTCAAACCGCGTTCAAATCAGAGCACCGTAGCTCAAGTTATGAATTTTTGAAGAAAAACTGCTGAATTTCACAGGGATCCCGCGCTGAGAGCGCCAATCCCGCGCTGTGAGCGTCAACCTTGCTGCCATTTTCGCACCTACGGAGCCGACAGCGCCACGGTTCTGGAGATTTCACCATACTTTGATATTTTACCATAACTTGAGCTATACTTATCCGATTGACACAATCTTGGTCTCCTTGGAAAGCTAAGGAAAAGATCTATAACTTCCATTAAGACACAAGGGTCCAAATCTATCATATAGGATATGAAAAATGGACAAAAAGCCATAATATCCTTATATTTATATTAATTCTCAATCCCAAAGGTTTTCTTTCACCTAATAAGCATTATATAACGATTTCAATGCATAATTATTGCCATTTCAAGGCTCACATGATATCAAAAGAGGCTTAATTACATCAATGTGCATCAAAATGATTACATACCAAAGACTTAGAAATAAGAAGTGATCAAAGTCCCACCAGGGCAATACAACATTAATGATCAACTTCTAAGTCCTACTTGCATTCATCTATCACTAATGCATCAAAATATATCAATTATCATCTATCATATGCAAGCTACTCGTGCCCTTTGCCTCCCCCAGTATCATCTCTACTAGCACCTGAAATAGCAGTCCCCAAACGGGGTGAGATAAAACTCAATAAACCCAGGGTTCTTGGAGAATTGCTCCAACCCCAGAGTTCACTTCCTGCATGAAGGGTTAGTATATACATGGCATGAACTACATCATATATCCAGAGGCAATAACAGTAATGATTTAACAACAGCATACTCATGCATTTCAATGGCCACAGAATTAAACAATCAAATCATCACACACGCTTCAGTTGCATCTTAGTCCTTTCCACTAAGCATACAACCTAGCCCCTAGTGCTTGTCCATTGACCCTTTCTCCAATGACACAACAATACTATATGAATGCAAACATACCATAATACTAACATTACCACTCAATCATCCATTCATAAACCATCACTTCCATAAAAGCAATGGTGGAACAACAAGAGGGATTAACCTCTAAGATCCAAAGGTTTACCTCTTAATGCTTCCCCTCCTTTTGCAAGCTTTCTTCTAGCTCACTTATCCACACCAACCTTTCTTGGTATGTCCACTTGGCAATTCCTTCCAATCACCAATACACCCTATTCAAGAGTGTAAAATCAATCAACCAATCTGATTTACAATTTGCTCAATATGCTAGAAAACTCACAAACCCCAAGAATGAATTTTCTAATACATTGAACAATAACCAAATGAAAATCTAAATCTATTTCTACCGTTTATTTATCATCTACAACAAATTTTACAAAGGGCTTAAGCTTAAATCAAACTCGAATTCATACAACCCCAACAACACTATTCATCATCTTCCTCCATCATACAAACTCCATGAAAAACAAAGTTCAAGGGGTAAAAACTCACCACAAATGGTTGCATAACCAAGGGATGTTGGCCTCTTAAGCTCCCATGGAATGAACTACCTTCAAACTCCTCCAATCACCAATGGTTCGAATTTTTGGGAGGAAGAAATCTCCCACCACAATGCTCCTCACTCAAAACCAAGCTAGGATTATGGATGAGAGCAAGATTATGAGTGGTTTAGGCTTTTGAATCACTAAGTTTGGTTAAGAGATGATGGAGCTAGGTTTTTCTTGAAATGAGTTCTCCTCCCTCTCACTCTCTGCCTTTGTCGATGAAAAAGAAGAAGAATAAAGAGAGAAATTGGTGTTTTGACTATTAACATAGGGTGAGTCTTTTAATCGGGTAAAAATTTATCTATCTATTTAACTTCGTTCTCGTTTAAACTTTACCCAAAGGTCTGGAATATTTTTCTAGGAATATTTCCATTTTTACTTTTATATTTTGGGTACTTTTGTCTGCACTCATTTTTTACCCCATAATTTTCAGTGACGGTACCTTTTTACCTCAAAAGTGATCCTAACTAATTTAATTAGGCCTTTTACTTATTTCTACTCACTAATACATGCTAATTTACTTAATTACATGTAATTTGTTATTTAATTAGGTTAGGGATATTATAATATTTCATTGCAAAAAAAAAACTATATGATCGTTTATTGATGCTTTTGTATTTCAATTTTTTTTACAAAGTCAATATATACAAAAGATGTTATTTGCACAATAATTATGAAACAAATTTTAGAATTTTCAAAAAATCGAAAACTGATCCAATCCAAACCGAAAAAAATTGGACCGGATCGGATCGGATTTGAAAAAAAATCCAAACTGAATGGATGATTACATGATCAAACCGAAATGATTGGATCAGATGAGTTTTGCTTCCAAAACCGATCCAATCCAGACCGCGAACACCCCTACTTTTGAGGGATTAATATGGGTCTTTTTTGAATTTGTGAAAGACTATGATTCTAACTAAATGGGCCCACTTTAAATTTCTTAGGGACCTCAGGACTAATTTTTTTTATAAGAGACAAAATTGGAAACCATAATTTTTTTGTTAGGAACCGAAAATGAGGTTTACTCAATTTTCAAAAAGATATTTTATACTCCCATAAGAATTTCTTCTGATCTTAAATTTTGTTCTTTTTTTTTTAAAAAAAAATATGTTTTTTTTTTATCCTTAGATTTGGAAAATAATTTATGATGCATTATAGGTGGAGCTTTCTGAAGAGATTCCATCAAATTTTGGTCAGCCTTTGCGTAAGAGAAATGGGTGTTACAAGCCTTTACACAAGTAGCATGTACATAATTGATTAGTCCAATTGATTATTCAGAAAAAACTCATATAGGATCTATCCTTATGTTTGCAACATGCACCCATCAAGTGTTATCCTGAGAAGGATACACAGCTTCATTAAGTGAATGAAATCTGTCCAGTGACAATTCAAAAAGTTGCTACTCTTAAATTTCTGCACAGTAGATATAATTTCTAGAAAAGAACATATATTACTTTCTTGAGTTTTTCATAAACTAGAATAATTTCACATAGATGGCGTATATAACTTTCGAAAATGATAATCCTTGGGATGGTTTGGTAGTTTGTACTGATATATAGATGGCACCGAATTTTCATAGGAGATATCACCGAATTTTTGTAAGCCTTTCCATAACAGAAATGGGTGAGACAATCTTTTAAACAACAAGTACAACATGAACAGAATTGATAAGTCGAATTATCCAAAAACTTCATGGTACAAATTTCATTTATGAGCTATCATTATTCACCCAATGACATGGAATGACTGCAAGTTTATAGCCCTTGCCAACTTAGGACATGACCTTATTACCTAGAGAGCACTATTAGATATCCACCTACTGTACATGGCAAAGCATTCTTCGGGCTTGTACTCTGGAGCTGTGTGCCCTCCACCCTGAAATAGAATAAACAAACAAATAATGATTGACATATATCTCATTCTCAAAATCTCAGGGCATGACAATTGACAAATAATGGAACATGAGGCTTGCCTTCACAGTTGCAAATGTCATCCGATTGGAGTAAGTCCTTGTGTATCTACTTGCACAAAAGCAAATATTAAGTACATAATTTAGTTAGCATTTCACATAAATCCAGTATGGTTATTATATAACACTATTAATAGTTAGGGGAATACCCTGCAACTTGGCCATTTGTATACCATTGCCTCCAATCATCCACAATGGAGTAGTTCAAAGATCTTACCCACGCTTGAGTCGCCAAGAAAGGAACCGACATGTCATGATCCCCACTGTTAGCAATATATAAAATTTATTTTCTGTTTAGATACAAACAATTCATCTGTGATATTTTATACAATATCTGAGCATAGAGAAAGAAATTAAAGAATATTGACCTGTATATCAGTGAACGATAGCCTTTTCTACTGAGATTTACATGATACTCATAGCTGCTTAAAATGTCGTGCTTGTTTGGTATCTCGAAGGAACAACGATGCCATTTCCCTATACTTCCCTGCAGCACGTGCAGGCAAGCTTAATGTCATAGTTGTATTGCTCACTACGTGAAGAAATTACTTTTACATGCATCAACTATATATACCTTGCGTATGTGCAGTGCCTTGCGAACATTATCATCATTGGCCCAATAACCGCAAAGGAAGTATACATAACTCTAATGGTGGAAAGGAGATAAACACCAAGTTAACATAAATATTTGAAGGTTTATGCTGCAAATACAACTAAATGAAGATTGGATAGTTAATTTACAAATGGTAAATGGAGCAGCAAACGCATAGTATAGCAAGAATCTATTCGCATAATGTAAAGAAGTAATTCAACCCAAAAACTTAAACGGTTAAATAAAAGCCACCTTAATAATTTTATAAATTATCTCTTAACACACCCATTCACAGAGAGTTTTCTTGGGCTTGAATTTTTGTTTAACTTGTGTTGATGTAAAATGGGGTGATAAGAATTGAACTCGTGTCCACTTGTCAGAGAGAGGTTTAATATCATATAAAAAACCAATTTAATCCAAAAACTTAAGTTATTAAGTGAGCGAACATCTTGATGCTTTTACATATTATCTCTAACACATAAATATGTAGTAATCATCTATGATTCAATAAGGCATGAAGATTACCCGACAGCTTAAGGGTGGCAGTTTGAGATGGCTATTGAGGTACTTCCAAGGATATTTCTGAACTAGAGATCTCCTCCAAGAAACTTCAGTCTCAAGCCAATCGCATACCGGATCCAAAATATGAGCCGTATTAAGTCCTGATGTATCCTGTGGAAATGGAAGAATGGTTGACTTAGCGATTGTCCGTTTAAGACTAGATAATCATACTCATGAAAATTTGATAAGAAGGATAGAAGGGACAGCAAAAATTAATGGATGCAGACCTCATTGAAGGACTGGATATCTCTTGAACAGAGCACATTTTCGGTGTCAACATTTACATACTCTCCTCTACAATTTTTTTGCAGTGACTGTTCATTAAAATAATAGAGAACCGTTAGCATTTGACTTTTGTTTCTTTAATACAATTTTTAAGAATAGATACTGAGTAATTATAATTAAATTACCTCGTATAGTTCATCAGAAATAAGTCCCATTCCATGAGCAAAGGGGATTTTATAGTTTGTTTCCTTTCCAGTTGTTGCGGCATTCCCCAGCAGGTATCCCTGAAGAAAAAAACATTTCATAATCAATCTGGCAGCTGTTCTAACTAGTGGATACCGAACCATTGCCATTCAATGTAATCAAAATTATATGAGGATGGATAACTTTGTTGAGATCATCCCTACAGCACAATTCCACTTTTCTGAAGTCACTTGTGCAAACCTCATGTAAAGCCTCTTCTTGTTTCTGAGTTTTCCATTAAAAAAAAATGTACCTCTTATTTTGTATCAGTATTCATCTTTGGCAATATTGATATATACTCCAAGTGTATTATACTCAACTATTTAAATCTTAGTTTAAACCGAACAATTTATGTTTTAACTTCAACTATTTTGTACCATATCACAGTCTGTTTCCAGACTTTGATCAAATTAATCAAACAATTTGTGTTTAATACTCTTAGAGTATATTAAGTTACTTCTAGGAATGGACGAGAAGTGAGTGGTTTGAATATTTTCCACGAGATGATAAGTTCAAATATTCATGCTATCATTCTACAAAACTGAAAGTAAAAAGTTTTCAATCCTAGACTTGCATTTTTTACATAATTATGGCACGCAGCATACAATTTCTGTTTTCCCTCTCTCCACACATACATTATAGGACTAGTTAAAAGAAAATATCCCACAAAACAAAGATCCATCGGTCCATGACAATCATTATGTTTTCTAGCACCATTTCTAAGATGAAACAGCTTATGGATTAGTTTCTCTCTGAACAAGCATCTCTTGGATGCACATGCTGAAGGCTTGGAGAGAAGAGTATGAAGAAAAAGAAGAGTGCATCATCTGGGAAGCTGGAGAAGGTTGCTGTGGAAAAATGTATATCAGAAAACGATGGGCAATAGAGAAGGTTAGGGGAGAACAACATTCCAAAGGAGGTCTTAGGCATAGAGACTAGCCTAATTGATGTGGATATTCAGGAAGAAATTTTGGAAGGTAGGTCCTTGGTAGATGCCAGAAAAGAGTCGGCTGTCTCTTTCCAGTTATAGGTCAAGGAGCGAGCTCCTCAACTATTCAGGGCACGAAAGTTGTGTCGTACAAGGATAAACTTCTGGTGCTCAATGGTTATGGAGGTTCAGACTTGGAAGACGAGGCCTTACTCGAAAGGGTGGAGGAGGAAGAAGAATGAGAGATTTTGATGGACTCCTTACTGGATGAAGACCCAGGGGATCCACTGTGCCCAGCATATAAAATCTCAAGGAGTCAACATAAGCAAGACTGTCAACAATGGCAAAAAGCCTTAATCATCAAACTGATGGGGAAGAGGTTGAGCATAAGATTCTTGATGGCAAGACTACAAAGGATGTGGGAGTTGGGAGGGATTTATGATCTTATTGATCTAGAAAACGGTTATCTCTTGATACGTTTTCATGACGACAAAGACTACTGCCATGTCCTGGAAGAGGGTCCATGGGTTGTAGTAGACCACTATGTCATAGTACAAAGGTGGAGGCCACTCTTTGATCCTTATGACGAAACTGTCAGAAAGCTCGCGGTTTGGATTAGAATACCTAGATTACCCATCGAGTTATACTCATCCCAACACCTATGGAGGATAGGGGGCTCTTTGGAAAGACCTTAAGGATTGAAGAGAACTCCCTCAAGAAAGTAGAAGAAGTGGAAGGGGATGTAACAGAAAGGGCCAAATTCGCCCGCATATGCGTTGAGGTGAACTTACGTAAAAGTCTCCTTTCGAAATTCAGGTTTGCTGGAAGAATTTTCCAGGTGGGTTACGAGGGGCTCCATATGGTTTGCTTCTCTTGCGGCCAGTATGGGCATAGGAAAGACTCCTGTATTAGAGGAGGTTCAGACGAATAGGGAAAATCTAAAGCAATGGGAGAAGCAACAACTACAAGGGAGGAAACGTTCGAGGGCTCGAAAGAGAAAGAAGGAGGATGCGAGCAAAACGAAGATGATGAGGCTTTTGGGGCTTGGATGGTCGTCCGAAAACCGGCAAGAGGGAGACGTACGACGATGATTCCGGCGAACGGAGGAGGAAGAACGATAACCCCACCAGAAAGCACGGGCAGGCTTGGACAACGGTCAGCTGGCAGTATAGAACCCACAGCACTTAAACCTAGCGCAAGGACCCATGCAGCAGAGGGAAAGGAAACGAGGATCCTTACTTCACCAAAGAAGACATCCTCGGACATACAAAATGTAGAATCAGACTCAACAGCAGCGTCTAAAGGTCTGGAAATAGCTCAAGCTCAGGAAAAAGGGAAGTCAGGAGATACAGGGAAAAGGAAAGCAGGCGAAGTCAAACAAAAAGGCACAGTGAGACCAACTAGAAGAGTGGCCCCCACGATGCACAACAGAAATGAAAAGACAGGCTCTTTGGTGAAACAGTAGCATGCAGTAACCCAACGTAAAGGTTTGCATGTCCTGGAAAGGGAAAAAGAGACGGTGGAGCCTGGAGCAAAAATGCGAGGAAGGGCACCTATGGAAACGACATCTGCACCAGAGGATCAACGCAGCCTAAGTATGGATGAGAACCTAGAGCTGTTGGGGGGCGTGCGCACCCACAACAGAGCTTAACGTACAGGCTTTGTGCCTGCTAAACCCCCTCTTTTTTGGTGTTTATATGTCGATTTGTGCTTGGAATTGTAGGGGAGCAAATAAAAAAGGTCTGTCCAGTCATAGCGCTATTGGAGACCCGTACTAGTGGCATCATAGCTGATAGGAAAATAAAACAGCTAGGTTTTGATAGCTTCTTCAAACAAGACCCTATTGGCTTCTCAGGAGGTCTGTGGGTGCTATGGGATAACACAGAGGTTGATGTAAGGATCTTGGAATCATCCCACCAGTTCATGCACGTGAAGATCCATTGGAGAGGTTCGGGTAGGGAAGAGATCATCACGTTTGTGTATGCCAACCCTAGGAGGATGGAGAGAAGATCCCTCTGGGATGACATCTGTAGGCTGAATCTGACCATATCTGGGCTGTGGATCCTCGTAGGTGACTTCAACACCATCCTTCGGGATGAGGAGAAAAAAGGGGGCAAGCCTCCTTGCCAAGGTAGCATCAGGGAGTTCAAAGATTGCCTACAAGAATGCAACCTAGAGAACGTGTGTCATCTTGGCCCCCTCTTCACATGGAAGCGTCGTCATCTGTTGGAAAGGCTCGATAGCGCAGTTGCCAACATGCAATTGATGGTGGGTGCCCCTAACCGGTCAGTTTTCCACCTTCATTTCTTTAATTTTGACCATCGCCCTATCTTGATAAGAGAGGGGAACCCTGGTATCGATCTCGGAGGCCACAAGCTTTTCAGATTCCTTGCCTCTTGGTTAACTAGGCAAGATTTTAAAGGAATTGTGATGGAAAGTTGGAATGGTAATGTTGAGTGGACCCTAGCTAGCAGGAGGTTTGAAGAATCAGCGTCCAAGTGGCATCGTACAGTGTTCAGAGAGAACATTAGAAGGAAATTTAGACTTCATGCACGTCTAGTGGGAATCGAAACTAGCCTTAGTAATGGCCCCAGCCAGTTTCTTGAAGACCTTCAAGCGGAGTTATAGAAGGAGCTCCAAACAATCTATGTGCAAGAAGAGCTTAGCTGGTTTCACAAATCGCGCAGCAACTGGCTGGCGTTTGGAGATGCTAACACGAAGTTCTTCCATACGGCTACGTTAATGAGGCGTAGACAAAATAGAATCCAGCTCATTCAAGACGAGGAAGGAAGGTGGATCTCAGATCCAGAAATGATTAAGAATTTGGCAGTGCACTATTTTGAAAAACTTTATACGAAGGGCACCACCAAGCCTTTGGGGTTCCCTTTTCCAGGTCGTTTTCCCAGGAGCACATGTTCGTCGTTCTATATCCTAGGAAGAGAGTCAACAGAGATTGAAATCTGTGAAACTATCTTCAGCATGCACCCCTTCAAGGCACCTGGTGAGGATGGACTCCATGCTCTTTTCTTCCAATCCCATTAGCAGATTATAAAGGGCAGTGTGTGTAACTTCATCAAGGAAGTATTTAGAAATCCCCACAGGATCAAAGATATAAACAGGACGCTGTTGTGCCTCACTCCTAAAACCAACCCTGACTCTATCACCAAATTTAGGCCTATTAGCCTTTGCAATGTCATTTACAAAACGGTAACAAAAATCCTAGCTCTCCGTCTGAGACCGCATTTGAGCACCATTGTCATGCCCAATCAATGCAGTTTCATAAGAGGCCGCCAGAGCTCAGATAATGTTGTCATAGCGCAAGAGATAATTCACTCAATGCATAACAAAAAAGGTGCCAAAGGTTGGATGTCTATAAAGGTTGACTTGGAAAAGGCCTATGATAGAGTGGATTGGGATTTTTTGAATCAAACTTTGAAAGAAGCAAATCTGCCATCTCAGGCCATAAACCTCATCATGGAGTGTGTCTCCACTCCATCCCTCAACGTCCTTTGGAATGGCAAACAGACAAGAGACTTCTATCCATCTAGAGGCATTAGGCAAGGAGATCCTATATCTCCTAACCTGTTTGTCCTTTGCATTGAAAGATTAGCACACAAATGAAGCAGTTGCTAGGAAAATGTGGCGACCTATAGTTCTTAGAAAAGGTGGGCCTCCCCTAACTCACTTGTTTTTTACAGATGATCTCCTCTTGTTCGTGAAAGCATCTATGGAGCAGGCTACAATCGTATCTCAGGTACTGAGTTGCTTCTGCGATGCATCTGGACAAAAAGTGAACAAAAATAAAACCAAAATCCTATTCTCTAAAAACTTTCACAACTTAAGAGCGGAGGAGATAGCTAACTTGATGGGCTTATCAAGAACTGCTGATTTAGGAAAATACTTGGGCGTTCCTCTTACCCATGGCAGAGTAACCCCATCGGACTTTAACTATATTTTACAAAGAATTGATGCCAAGCTGAATAGTTGGAAGAAGAGTACGCTATCTTTGGCAGGAAGATCGACCCTAGCACAATCCATGCTTGCTAGTATCCCCATCTACACAATGCAAACATGTATTCTTCCCGCGAGAACTTGTGCTGAGATAGAGAGGAAGGTTCGAGATTTTGTGTGGGGTTCAACCTCTGAGAAGAGAAGGATACACGGTACTGCGTGGGACAAGCTTTGCAAAAGAAAAAATAATGGTGGCTTGAGTTTTAGACATGTACATCAGATCAACATGGCCTCCATAATGAAGCTGGGTCATGGCATCCTCACTCGACAGAATTCCTTATGGGCTACGGTATTGAAAAATAAATACTGTGTGGGTAATGAGCTGATTCCCCAGCTCACTAAGCATCGAAACTCCTTCTCTCTGTGGAAGGGCATTGTGAAGGCTTGGCCTCTTATTCTTTTGGGTACTAGCGTGAAGATTGGAAGTGGAAATTCCACTAACTTCTGTCATGATAATTGGATTTCATCTGCGGGGAACCTGGCCAGCCAAAACTTAGTCGAGATCAACAGCCTCAATCATTCCTGGACGGTCAATAGCATGGTGAACAAAGAAGGACGTTGGAACTGGAATTTACTAACAACAATTATCTACCTTCGAAGGATCTCTCCTTTTTGACCAAAAGTGCCTATGAGCTCATCCTCCCTGAAGACGTTAACACGGGTACGCAAGACTGGAGTGTGGTGTGGAACTGGTTGGGGCCTAATCGAATAAAATACTTTTTGTGGCAACTCAAGTCAGAGATTCTTCTTACCAATGCTAGGAGAATGGAACGAAACCTTTCAACGTCCAATACATGCCCCAGATACCACACCAGCGTGGAAGACTGTCTGCATATGCTCAGGGATTGCCCCTGGAGCAGAAAAGTCTGGGAGCACCTCCACCTCCGTGTATCTGAGGGAAATGTCTTTAACCAACCCCTGCCTGAGTGGCTGAAGGATAACCTCTCTCAACGTCAGTTAAAGAACCTTGGAACCGACTGGTGTTTGACCTTTGGGGTGGCTTGCTGGCATATCTGGAAAGCCAGAAATGAGTTAGTCTTCCAAGGAAAAACCTTGCAAGAAAGGAGTACGTCTTTGGCCATTAAATCTTTCGTCCTTAATACCATTGAGGCTCACAGGCTACTACATACCAGTGGCATTCAGAATACAAGAACGGTCCAGGAAATTGGTTGGCAACTACCTCAATCTACATGGATTAAAGTTAACGTTGATGGCTCAAGTAAAAATGGAGGAACAAGCTCTAGCTTTGGTGGGGTTATGAGGGACGAAGAGGGAAGATGGCTTGGAGGTTTCTGCGGTAGACTTGGGTTTGGAAACTCCCTCGTTGCTGAGTTGCGTGGCTTCCTGGAGGGTGTGGAGCAAGCAAAGAAGGCTGGATTCAGAAATGTTTGCTTTGAAGGAGACTCCTTGGTGGCAGTGAATTTTATCAAAAATGGCTGTCAAGAGAACCATCCTCTAGCTCATTTGGTCAATAGAATTAAAATGACCCTTGATGATGACTGGAATACGGTCATAACACATACGCACAGAGAGGGGAACATGCTAGCAAACTGGCTAGCAGCTTACGCACACCAACTAGATAATTGGGAGGTTCATGTTTTTGCTATTCCACCTCTTGGGTGTAGAACTTTGATAGATAGAGATGCTTCGGGCATTACTCTGCCCAGAAGTTGTATTATGTAATTGACTTTTCCCTTATTCCAAAAAAAAGAAGAAGAAAATATCCCTAATATAAGAGAGGTACTTTAAGACGCTAACCTGGAGATTTATCCATGGTTTGATCCCTTTTTCATTTCCTGCAAAAAAAGGGAATATGTGAATAATTAAACTTTCGACGTAGTTATAGCAACCTATAGTATAGTAAGACAATAGCGCTGCTGGGAATATTATGGTGTACATATCAGTCGTCACAAACAGTCAAGTGGGCATTAGCTTCTACCTACGTTTATGGTTCAAATTTTGCCATACATATTGAGGCATATGTGAGTTTTGTACCTTGTGAAATCTCTTGAACAATGACTGGAATAGGAATGCCAGAGTATGAATCGCCACCAATGTAAACCTCATTTGACAGAAATTTTGGATGGTCAATCAGCCACTACAAATATTCAAACAGGATTATAACAATTTAATTGACGGACTGACATAAATAAATACAAAAATAAAATGATAAAATTAATGATCGTGAAATAAAAACAAATAAAATTTGGATGAATACCTTCCTAAGAAATTGATGGAAATGGTGAACTAGTCTCCAGTCACTTCGTTGAGCAGCAGACTCGGTTGTGGCATAAGAGAAACCCGTGGAAACAGGCAAATCTACAAATATAATGCTACTTGCCTACCAAGAAAAATTATGATAAATGCCAATAAATATGCATCACAGATTTAGTAAATACTAAAAAATTCAAAAGGATTTGATGAAATAAATATAATAAATGCCAAATTATGTACTTCAACCAACAAAAATGTGTACGTTTACCCCCAACACACCTTTGTCCATGAATTTGACCTCAAGACCAAATTAGGCACGCTCCCATTGTAATCCTCTTTTATAAGTGCAAGTGGACCTGCAACACCCAAATAGAATAAACATATATGTTTCAGCTGTTTCTTATCATGTTACCTATTATAAGCTCAAGTTAACAACACATTCCAGTATCATGAACCATTGCACTTTCAAAACTAATGGTTAGAAATTCCCCTTCCCTTTGTATTAGATCGAACTCACAAATTATTTGACTCTTCCGCCCTAAAAATAATCATCATAATAATAATGAAATGAAAAAAGAAATCATATGATTGAAGAGTCTTCTTGTATTAAGCTTTGATGACAAATGACAAGCATATTTTTATACGTATTCATCCTTCATTGACCGTCTGCTCAGAAATTTTGATAAATAAAGTGGAAAAAAAGTATTTATTGGTATGAATTCAAAAACTATGCATAAAGAGTATCATAATATCATAATAGTAAAGTTGGAGAACACAAAACTGGCAAATAATTACAATTGAGGAAGGATCCGTTTACAATTTTTTTTTACAAATTACATAAATATGATTGGTCATGCATTCTTGATTGAAGTGTAACCAATCATACTTAGTGTAATTTGTAAGAATTTGTAAACAAAATTTTTGTAAATATAACCTTTCTCATTACAATTATAACTTGAAAATAGCGCTACTTTTACGTTTCAAATAATTTTTTTCTATTTTTTTCTTTTTCTATTTGAAAATAAAAAATTTAAATAGGATTAGACACCAGTATCCCACTAGAGTCAAAGCACTTCTTTCTCAATTCTCACTACAACGAGGTGATATACTTCAACGTACCGAAGTAAACAAAACACTTACATCTTAACCCAAAAATATTAAAGATATAATACTTATGAATCATATATTTCACTTATAAGTTCATCACTTTGTCAACGTAGAACTTCTTCACCCATTATGTTGGGTGATGTTCCTTCATTAATGCTGGCATGCACCTCATTTAATGGGTGCAAGGCTCAAGACTCCAACTACCCTCAATAAATGCTTATTTGTTGGGAAGGTTTCTTCATTAATACATTTAGTTGTGACATGCACCACATTTATTGGTGCAGGGCTAAAGACTTCAACCACCTACAATAAATGCTATCTACCATATTTATTGAAGAAGATTCTAGAAGAAGGTGAAGGATTCTTCTCACCTTAAACAAAAAACCTTGAATTCACTTGAAATGGGTTAGAGATTTAGAGAGAGATTTTTGAGAGATTCCGAAGAAAGATTGTTGGAGAGTTTTTCAGAATATCTTATAGAGAAGTTTAAGTGAAATCTTTTAAGAAAGTTTGAATACCACTATTGTTGGTGAAATTTGATTGTATCTTTAATGAAAGACTAGGAAAACTTGACTCATCTAATCTTTCTTTAACATAGTGAAAGATTTTCTGGTCTAATGTCCCGTGATTTTTACTTCTTTATATCTTTTATTTACATTCTTTCTTGTTTTCGCTGTGCAGGCCCAAGACGCTGCTGTAGCGAATTCCAAATATAGATTCCTCAGGCTTCTAATACCTACATTGAGACTATCCAAAAATGAAAAAAAAAAAAATGGAAATGAAAGTTGGTGAAACCTAGTTCAAAGAAAAGGCCAGACAAGGCAGAGCAACCAGGACCACCCGTTAGCCAAAGCATGAGAGGATCCTCCTTTGGATTGTTCTCTGACTCAACGAAGTAGTAGAAGGCTTGCACATCCTCTGATTCACCAACTCCCACATACCTGATCAACATATATCATTTGCATGTGTATAAAATTCAAACAAATGATTTAAAAAAAAGCATAGTCTAGCCAAGTTAAACAGACCCGGTTTCAAGCACAAAAGGAAGGGGTCCCTCGAATCCAGGAAGGAACTGTACTAAGGATCCACACGTGGCAAATGGAAAGGAAATCTGTGATAAAAGAAGAAGGGGAAGTAGAACACCATGATAAACCAAAGCAGAATTACTATAACTTGAACTATACTTTGCCATTTTAATTGGCCTCTCCCATTTCTCTCTGAGCATTTCCATGGTTTTTAATTTGAGCTACTTAGTTCTAGAAATAATCATAATGTCGTTGTCAACAAAGACACTATTAAACAATAATTAAATCAAAAAATCTTGCTCGACACTTTTGTCTTGCAGAATGACATCAGAATTGTCTTTGAATCAACAAATACATTATGGACGAACTACTAAAAAACAATAATCGAAAGAACAAATCTTACGCGACAGTTTTGTCTTACAGAATGACACACCAATGTGTTCTCCCAAATTGCAATGGTCGATATTATTCATGTCATCACTGACGTTGTTGACTACAACAAGTTGGAAACGCAACCTTGCTTGATTTGCCGCGCCATGGAAATACTGACAATGGAATCTTATAGTTTATTAACTTATTTAGTTGACCAAATTCGGATATACCCTTTTTCTTACAAAATTTTATTCTCCTTTTACATTATAAAATTTATTCAAATACTTTGCATTTTTTTATTTCAAATCCCGAAAAAAGTCGTTTTGAGTTATAAAAAATAATTTTGAAAGATGTCCATCTTTTTTTAATTATAAATTTATATCAAATATTTTTTTGATGTATAAAAATTATAAATTATATAATATAAGTCACAATTTCTTTATAAATTTTTATTACTTAATTTATAACTATTATATATTATATTACTCAATTTATAATTTTATTAGTCGTAATATATTAAGTGAAGGTTTTTTTATGTACCTCTCAATCACTTTACGTGTCCCTGATCATAAAAAATAATATTTTAAAGATCTAGCTTGCGACCAGATCCTTGAGACAGACTCCTTTACCAAATATATCAGCCCTAAAAGGTGAGCGAACTTTGGGTACCACCGCCGTTCCCAAATTAGAAAATAATAAGGACATAAAAGAAAATAAATAAAAAGCAAGGGATTAAAATAAAAAATAAAAACTTCATATTTTAATAAATAAATGTATGGAGTTCAGCAGGTTCGTAGTATTTAAAAAATTTCCCTAAAAGGTTGAGCCATAAAGATTTTTCATGAAGCATGATGTCAAACCGCAAACAAAATGCTGATAGATTTTATTAATGTTACTGAAATTTGAAAAATAAAATGGCGGTCACATTCAAAGTGACATGAAGGTATGATTCATGCCGTGTGCGGTCTGAATCTTGACAAATAATGAAGATGGTGGCCAAATTATACAAGGCAATAACCACTATCTCACATGGAATCTTGACAAAATTTTAGACTAGTTTGAAAATGACAACATTGTTTTTTTTTTTTTCTTGTTTCGTTCAGATGCTTTTAACTTTTAAGGGGTTCATGCCGAAATATACCCAAAATTGAAGAAATTCATGAAATAGACCATTAAGAAATTATATTTAATTTAAAGATAAAAAAGTTAAAATTATTAAAGAGAACACTAAATTTTAACTGAAAAGAATGATTATTTAAATTTATCTATTAATAAAAAATAAGCAACAACTATTTAAGTAATAGACTTCAATAATTGTTAAATAATAATAAATAGCATATTATTAATCATTCAACATAATTATTCATCTGATAAACACCTAATGACTGTTATTAACCAATCAAAGATTAGTAATAGTCATTGATATAAGTTGTTGACCCACTTAATTAATGATTATCGGAGTAGCTACTATTTGGTATATATTGACCAATCAGATATGAATAATAATCATTAAAATCAGTATCAAATTCCTATTGTTGATTACTGAAATATAAGCCATAACTATTCACGTGCTAGCTACCAAATACATGCTATTAGTCAATTTGAAATGAGCGGTAATTCTTCAAAAAAAAGGCAGACGGCTGAAAAGCTGAGGCCTGAACATCAGACAAAATCAACTGCGGAAGCTCAACTGGTGGGCTGGAGAGGAAGATGATGCCTTGAGGCTTGGAAAGGTCAACTTTAGCAAGCCAGTCACTCAGCACAACAATTAAACTCTCTGTTTGCAAAAATAAGATCAGTACACCATTGGTAAGTAAGTTGATAGCTTGAGATGAATATGTTACAAATCGAAAATCACACAAAATCGACAAAACAAAAAAGAGAAAAGAGATTAACACGGTGATTTATAATGATTCATTCAATATATGCTACGTCCAGCTTGTCTGTACTATATTCATCTCACCGTCACTCGTTACAAGTCACTCGATTTACAAAGACAAGTCACTCGGTTTACAAAGAGAATATAAATAGGATTAAAAAAATCCTGATAGCAGCTATTTATAGGCCCAAGCCCAAACTACTAAGAAAAGAAAAAATTACAATAGATCATAGGCCTATAACAGTACCTAGTCTCTACGGGCCTGGAGGTGGTGCCCCCAAGACCCTTGTTGAGATATATAGTCCCACATTGGTTGGATGGGCAACTAATATGGCCTTTATAAGGCCTTGGACACTCTCACCCCTTGAGCTAGCTTTTGGGGTGGTGTATCCCAAGGTTCTTAACATGGTATCAGAGCCTCACCGTCCCCCGCTTTAAAAAGTGGAATTAAAATAAAAAAAAGCACAAGAAGGTAAACCAAAAATGGGCCTGTGCAATTTTCACGCTTCTAAGCCTAAAGGGCTCTTGCGTGAGGGGGCGTGTTGAGATATATAGTCCCACATTGGTTGGATGGGCAACTAATATGGCCTTTATAAGGCCTTGGACACTCTCACCCCTTGAGCTAGCTTTTGGGGTGGTGTATCTCAAGGTTCTTAACAACCCTCGCCAGGGCGGCTCCCCCGGACCCCACCCTTTCACCTGGGAGCGAGACTACCTTTCTGCTGACCCTGACAACAAGGACCATCATCAGCATGCGAAGTATAAGCCATACAAATCACTCTCAACTATAACTTTAGAGAGACCCAGCTGCTAAGTCATCTTCAGACCATGAAGAATAGCCCAACGCTCAACATGAAGGGGAGAGGAAGAACCAGGGAAGCCGTGATAACCGGCTTTTTGACCACTGTAGCCCTTATTTAATAATTAATTACCAAATTGACCTTGATTATAAACTATTTCAAAAATTTAACCTTTCCAAAAAACATAACACCAATCTCCCCTATTTGACCGTTGACCATCAAGCCTACCCGGGTTTTTTTGAAAATTTTACCCTACCCGGGTAGTCAAGGGGATACCCTGGTATATTTCAAAAATTTGAAAAAATGCTTGAATTATTTACCCGGGTAAGGAGGGTAAATTTCGCGGGTAGGGTTTTTAAATAACCCAGCAGCCCCTATTTGGAAAACCCACAAAGGGGTACCCGGGTAGAGCTGCTGGAGTTGTACAATCACACGATTCCCACACCAAATCTTGCTGGGGTTTCTTCCTTTTTGTGATCATTAGTTCGCGCGCGTTACATTGCTGCCTTCTACCGATTGAAATCCATTGAAGGTTCATTTTTTTTCCTTTTTAACAATTGGGTTCTGATTTTGATATGTTTGTCACTTTACAGCCAAAAATTATTGCGTTTTTGTAGTTTGCATGGTTAAACATTCGATTATGACCGATTAATTTTTAAAATTACTAACTATATCCCTAACCCTAACCCTAACCGTTATGTTTCTGATTTCTGATTTTGCCTTTTTTTCAGTCTCATAGTGTGACGCAATGGCTTCTAGACGCGTTTCAAAGATGCCGGTGGGGGATACCGAGAGGAGGACCAAGCGTCGACACGATGGGTCATCATCCTCTCAGCCCCAAGCTGTTATGCATCTAGCTCCGGACTTGCCGTTCGAAAATTTGTTTGAGGATGACAGTGTTGCACATGAGAGGTTTGTGAAGTCATTCATGAGCCGGAAGATTTAGGAGTCGAGATCACTGGATTCAGCCTTCATCAACTTGGAGCGTTTCGACACTGTGTCGCTTCTTCAGGAGACACATTTTCTTGTGCTTGCGGAGAGGCGGTGCCTATACTCGGAGGTTATGGTGAGAGCATTCTAGCAGAACCTCAACTATGTGCATGGTGAGATGACTTCCCGTGTTTGCGGGATTGATGATATGCGTTCAACATATAAGGAAATCTAAGCCAAAAAGAGAAAGAATGTGATTAAATCTTAAGCAAAAAGGGCAATAATCACTGTTGATATGTCAAATTCTTAATCAGAGATTGCATACTGATTTTATGTTGATTTCGTAGGAAAAATAGACAAATTGGAGCTAAAGAGGAAAAGCTAAACTGAAGGCCCACGCTCACAGCGTGGGTATGACGCCCATAGCGTGAAGAGAGCCCTTTCACACAGAAACAACCATGCTACTAGCGTGGGACTCACGCTAGTAGCACCAGAGGTCCAAAAACAGGCAAAAGCTACCACACTACTAGCGTGGGATTGACGCTAGTAGCGCCAGCCTTTTTCACAATCCACGCTTGCAGCATGGCAGCCACGCCAGTTGCGTGGTGCTCCAGGATATAGAAGAAAAACTCCCACGCTCACAGCGTGGGAACCACGCTATTGGCGTGGGATGTGCGGACAAATCAACTTAAATCTTCGTTTAAATCAGAGACAAGATTACTGTGAGATGCAGAAAAGATTAGATCAAGATTCTCCGCCAGGTCAAAGACTCTATAAATAGAGACTCATACCTCAAGAGAGAGACAACACTTTTGCACAGGAGAAATTGCGAGCAACGGGAATCGGAGCGAGCTTTCGGTGCCTGAAGAATCAAGATTTCTTCTTCCATTCTTTCCGGTTAATTTTAGTTTTATGAATTCTTTTGAATATTTGTTATTGTCAGACATGAATATGTCTGGCTAGTCTTTTTATATTGTGGTAAGGGTCACAACCCTTGATGTGAATCCCTTGTATTTTGGTTAAGTTTATGGTTAATTATTTCAATTGAATTTATTTTACTCTGTTCTTCATCCATAATTCTTTTAGAATTCGCGACTCTATTAAGATTGCGAGGGTTAGGGTTTTCAATAGGAATATTGGGATTCTAATTCCTGACAAAGGGTAAGATAAAGTTCATGTATGCACTAGGGATAGGCTATATGAACTGCAAACGTGGAAAATTCATTGGGCTTAAAGATTAACTTTAAAAGGGATTTCT